AAACTTCTCTGGCGAGCTTCTTTGAAAAGAGGGAGAGGCTCGATGTTGAGACAGAAGAAAAAGTAAACACATATTTAGCAAAAATAAGGAATTTTGTTTGTTTATGACACATTTTAAATAGAATTTTATTTTATTTTTTTAATGTGTGCAACGACTGGTCTGTAGAAAATTGTCTTGCTTGAAACCGGTCCATGGTGCAAAAAAAGGTTGGAGACCGCTGCTCTAGCTGTTGTAAGCTGGTATTGTGGCAATTGTCATGGAAATGTGGCATGTGTAGCTCCATCACTATATGAAATAATGTCCACTGTACTTAGGCTGTTAAAAAAGTTGATCAAAATGTGTACTACTATATATAGTGCTGCTTCCACTGTCATCTGTGGCATGTGCCATTTTAGGCCAACTGGGCCAGCATTAGTTTGATCCAGTTGGCCCAAAATGAAAAATGCAAGAGTTGGGGTGCCATCATTTAATTGCTTATATAACTTCACGAATTTTAAGCCTGATCTGAGGTCTAATGAGCTAGAATAATTAAATTTGTGTGGGTGTGATGAAACTAGGGCTGAATGCTCTGTTGAAAATATCCATTTGACTTTTCTGACAGATTTTGCAATTTGCTTTGCAATATCAAGTTCTACTTCAGTATTTCATAATATATTTAAAATGTGACGGAGCATTATCACATCAAATGTCATCAAAAGTGTGACTGTCATGCATCAAGCTGGCATGGATTTGTAAAACAATTAACATAACAGTTTAAACCCTGGATATAATACACTGCAAATTGTGTATCCTAAATTTTAATTTAAAATCAATTATTTGTTCAACCTTACTTGAAACCCTCATAGCCTGACTTCTTGGTGTCCCTGAGCTTTAGTTCTTGCAGTCAGTGTCAGTGGCGGCTCCTGAGAAATTTCTCAGGGGGGGCAATTGTCATGACAAAAGTTACCTGTTCAACTGGCGGTCAAATTTTCCCTTTACCTCTGTACACTAAATACCATGTGCTAGAGCCAGCCTATGACGTCTTCATGAATAAAATTGTTTTGGCTCTTCGGTGAATGATAAATTCAATAGGCTATCAACAGGAGAAATGTCGTACATTTCCTTCAAACATAGAGAGATAAATAACTCGAAAACGTTCATCATGTCTTCTTAGTGATAATATAATGTTCAGGTTCTCTATTCAGACATGTAGAGTGTGGTTGTTATTACCTGACAGTTTCGGCGACAACGCTCGCCTTCTTCAGAGATGACACTGACAGCGGGTGACGTGTCAGCCGGCAGATTTTGACAGCCGGCACCTGCGGCACACCCAGCAGAGCCGCCAGATCCGCCGGGCAAGCCACGCCCACACCGAAATGGTGTGTCGTGGCGAGCTCAACAGACCCGACCGCCCCGCCAGGCGCGCCGCACAACAAGCAGAACAACGCACCAGCCACCTCACAGCCCGCTAGCCTTTCTGCTCATACTACCGCCGCGAAAATCCTCGATTATAAGATTTCCCACCTTTTAGGGAAACATGCTTGATGTTCAGGTTTAGTCTTGGTTGTCCTAGTTATTTTGTTGCCAATTTATCTTCGTTAGTCCGACGAATAAAGGGAAATTCTTTCAAAGACGCGGCAGAAATGCTCCGACAGTGAGCCATCTTTGACCTTGCATGCAGCTAGCTCCGTCGACGCAGCTGAGGTGATACGCATGACGAAAGCACGCAAGTGCAAGCCCTCCCGGAACCCAGAGACAATGCATTATAGCGTCTGCTATGTGAAAAAAGAAACTTTTACATTACAGTTAATGAGAGCGGTCGGGGCGATTTCAGTCAGACTGAAAATAGCCCCAAAAAGGGGCGGGACTCCAAGCAGCAGGGCCTCACGCTGATTGGACAATGACATACAGGCAGTTTAAAGTGTTCAGAAAGCTGACAGCGGATAGTTTTTTGTTCTTCTTTTTTTTCTTTTCCTTTGGTGGCGCGTCGCCCATTCACCCTTAAGGACAAACTGCCCCGGGTCGGTGTGCTGGGCAGTAAATATGGGGGCATAATTGTAGCAAAACTATTTGTCCATGCATTTGGAGAGTGGTCTATCTTCTGTTCGTCCGAAGTGAGACCTGTCAATGTGTAAAAGAAGTTGTCAATGTGAACCAGAATCTACAAAAGTCGTCTCACAATTTGTCTGTCTGTAATCAAGTTTTCAAATGTGTAAAAAATCTGCTCATCTGCATTAAAATTTGGACATGTAATAAGAGTTGTCAATGCGTACACAGAGTTGTCAATGCGTACAGAGGTATTCGTAGTTGAAAAGTCTACGTATTCGAATTCAAGTGCTAAAAATACAGACAAATTACGTCATAACGTATTACGTTATTGGCCAAAAGATATTACGTTATTGGTTCAGGACTTTCATTACGTTATTTCCAGTTATTACGTTATTGGCCTATTACATTTTAAAAAGTGCAAATTTATTACGTTCATGACAGTTGTTATGTTATCGGCTGTTATTACATTATTGGCTTCTACAATATATATAATATAATAAAACACGTATATGTGAACAAATTACATCTGCTAAGTTTATGGGTCGCTGAGCAAAAACTTTCAAGAAGTAGCACTAGCAAGCTAATCTGACCAATTAGCTTAGCTGAAGACGTAGCAGCTGCTGCTGAAGCTTGGAGGGGAAGATAAGAGTCCCAGGTGTCTTTAGCTGGAGGCCACATGTTAGCAGTCCTCCATCGCTGAGACATATGTATAGATATATATACCTATATATGATTGTACCTCAATCTGTCAATCTACATATATATGGCATGCCATTTGGGAGATTATATAAAATGAAACGCTGAATATATATAATGAAACTCTGAATATAGTGAATGAATCTCTGTGGGTTTCTATAGAGATGGTGGCACACATAGACACAGCGGCTACTTCAGGAAACTTCAGTGAGTTTTGAGTGTCTTGTCTATCCCACACATTCATTCCGCAAAACTTACAGCCAGGAGACTTTGCTGAACATCAGGCAATGAACGTCGCTAAAATTGCGGTGGTTGGTTATTTTTTACACATTTGAAAACCTGATTACAGACAGAAAAATTGTGAGACAACTTTTGTAGATTGCGGTTCGCATTGACAACTTCTTTTACGCATTGACAAATCTCACTTCAGACACACAGATTGAGGTACAGACAGACAACTCTCCATACGCATGGACAAATAATTTTGCCACAATAAGGCCCTCATAGGAAAATAGAAAACATCATTTGGTCTGCCATTTATTCAGTCATTCTATCAGCAGTCTTAATCATTACAAAGAAATGCCTCTCAGGCTTTTCATGTGGCTTTCAGAAATTCAATATAACACAAAAAAAGATAAAAATAATTGTCCCTTTCCACTTCTTGTAGTGAAAGATTTAATGTTCATAACTCACTCACTGTTGAGTAGTGAGGTATACGCCTTACACTAGTCATTTATGTATATTCCTAAGGCCTATTGTTAGTGCTTCATCTCTTTGCACTATGTCAGGTCTGTGGTAATGACATCATTCTGAGAAACAGCATTTACATTGGTTTTAGTAGTAGTATTAGTAGTAGTAGTAGTATTCAGTAGTTTTATGTCAATTGTATTATGAGAAATGTCCTAAATAAGCACAAAATAGGTGTCATCCCAACAGCAGACCCCTCCCTGTTTTCATCACGAGAGCCTCTAGAGTCCAACAGCATCACAAGTACTGGTGCTGTGACACACTGCTGTACATCATCGCACACACTGTCAACTGAGCTGAGAGAGAAGGCTTAAGGGGTGGTTAGTCTGGCACTGTGTCACAGCTCAGCATGAAGTAGAGCCACATGCAGAGCGCACACACTCATCCAAACACAGGCACACACCCTGTTTGACAGAGATGCTCGATGAAAAAGAGAGAGCGTGTTAGAGGCTGCAGCAGAGACATGCTGAGGAAGCTGATGTGCAAGAAAATCTGCGCTCGTAAGAATGATGCCTTTGTCTGTTCTCTTTTTCTACTCCGTTCTCTTCTTGCTCGGTATGGTTTCCTGTCTTTCTTGAAATATGGTTTTTACCATCTTTCTGTCATTGCTCTGCTCTCTCTGCCTGTCTGTGTGTTTCACGTCTCAATGATTTCCTCTCTCAACCTGTTGCTTTTTCTTGTTGTTGTGTATTTTTCTGTCTGATGCAGTGTCATGGTGATAATCTCAAAAGAGACATTTAGGGAGCTGTTTTTTGTGTCTGGTCTTATCATTATCTGTGATTTTTTTTTCACATATTGCTTTATGTGATTTGGCTCCATTGGGGAAATGATAAAAAATTAATTTTGCAAGAAATGTGCAGCTTAAAGATATTAGCTTCATTCCTACAAAATGAGTTAATGTAAGGCTGTCTGCAAGCACACATTCTTTTATTTGATAGCTTCAAAATAAATAGTATTTCTCTAAATTTCCTCAGAATTAGAACACAATCTAAGCTGCAAACATTCCCTTTATCGCCATGCCTTAGCTGATGGAAACCACCCAGCACTGTCATATCTGCCCCTGACTAATCCCTCGTGTCAGCGGTCACGTTGGGCAGGTGATAGTGAACCATGTATCCATGTATGGCTGCCAAACCAGATTAAAGTCAGATGGACGCATAGATGAAGGTTGGATAGATACATACGCACAACCTGACAGATTTACCGCATTGCATTTCCCCACGGGCAGGCAGAGATCATACAATGCAGCGATGACTCAGGCCAGCCTAATAAGAAGAGAATGATGGTTCATGTCACAGTTGGCCTTAATACCAACAAGGAAGAGCACTATGTGGTAACGCTAACTTCTAAGGGGGAGCGATGTGACTGAACGGTGTCCTAATAATGATTTATTGATCTTTTCTGGAAGCATCTCTCACAGAGTTGTCCAACCGTTAAGTGGATAACATTTACATTTGCCAATATCTCAATGAACCAGCTTAACTCAACTGTTACCTTATTCATTTTCTATTTCTACCCTTGTGTTTCAGACAAAAACTTTGAGGATGAGGACTCTGTGGATGGAGGCCGGTCCTCCTCCTCCTCCTCCTCCAAAGCACCCCCTAGTGGCAGGAGGACTGTAATGAGCTCAGTTAAAAGACCCAGCTCGGCCACCACAACAAAGACCCCAGGTGAGAAAAGGGTTTGTCCACCCAGTGCATACATTTATAACTGCATACTGTACTGTACAGAACTTTAAATGTTATTGATAGTTTATCTGTCAATACAATTGCAGTTGAAAGTAATCTTTTGTTCAAATCTTAATTGTGTACATGTGCAGAAGTAGCATCATCTTGAAAACAAACCATGATTCAAGTCATTACTTTACTGCTATTAGGATCTTTCCTCTGAGAAGCTGTTCAAAATCTTTTTTTTTTTTTGTAAAGGTAAAGAAGCAGGTGCTGGTGCTGTTGATGAAGAGGATTTCATTAAAGCCTTTGAAGATGTGCCCTCAGTCCAGGTATGTTGAGCCCAGTGTTGAGAAGAATAGAAAAATACTTTATTTATCCCAGGCCCGGGAAATTACTGAAACACGTGCACCGCCCGGGAATCGAACCTGGGTCGCAAGAATGGGAATCTTGCATGATACCACAACACCAGCGGTGCCCTTAAACTACACCAGCGGCGCCCTTAAAAACACGGTGTCGGTGCTTTACGCATTGTGCCACCGATCAGCTCACTGTCAAAAAAAAAGTGCGGAAAAGGCTGTCTTTGTGGCCTGCTTGAGATGTCTTCCAGCTCAGAGGTATGGTGATTAGCCTACCTAGTAGCACAACCATATCAGTTATGGTTGGTCCACATCCTTTGTTCAGTATTGTCATGTTCTCTCGAGAATTAATCCTACTTATTTCTGTATTCCTCTGACTGTTCCTCAATTTCCACGGTGAGACTGATATTGTTTGTTGTTGTGAAAAGAAAAATGGTATACATATCAATTTTTCTTGAACCATAAATCCAAATGATTTTTTGACGATCCCTGATTTTATATCAAGTAGGTCAAAGTTTTCACTCATTCGCTTAAGTGTTTTTCCATCTACTTGTTTGATTTTAATAGATAGCCTTGGTTTCTAGATGACTTTGGTGATTCTCTGTCTTTTCCTCTTGGTGCCAAAAGAAGTTGGATGTTTACGATTTTAAGTAAATGCCTACAAAACTAAGTAAATTCCCAATAGCCTCAGTTATACTTTGTGTTTAGTGTTATCTAATAAATGTTAGCATGTAAAATGAGATGATGAACAAGGGGGAAATTTTACCTGCTTAGCACCAGCATGGTAACATCCTCACATAGCTGCTAGTTTGCATACCTGACCTGCTGGAAAATGGTCTGGGTGCATCTTGTTACCCTTTTGCTGAGAGGGGGAATGCACACTGATTTGTTTGTACTTCTTAAGCCAGTCACAAATGTCTAGGGCAGTCCAAAGTGACGGTATCTCTGTTCATTAGTGATGGGGGAATTATTTCGATGTAACTTTGAGCACTGCCATTGATATAGCTAATACATTGGAAGAACTTAGTAGGCTTGTCCTATTGCACCATCCAAGTCTTCTTCAATGCTTACCATTTTCAGCATGTAGGTTGCTGTTTGAAGGTTATTATTGTTTGCAGATAGCAAAGGGGCAGCAGAAAGCTGTGAGAAAAGTGCAACAGGAATTGCAGGCTTTCACCTAAAGTCCACATCCAGTGAGTCATAGTACAGAGCTCCTAGTCTGATCGTAGACTTAAAAAGAAGAAGCTTTATTGTCATTGTACAAGAGATACAACAAAGTTTTGTTTGGCATCATCTTTGCAGCAGGTAATATGGTCACAGTCTAAGAAAAAAAGTTAAAAAGTGATAGAAATAATAAAATAGCAATAAAATATAACATAATACTCTATTAAAAGTGCAAAAGAGCATTTGTTAGAATGACTCCGTAACTGGGAGTGTCATGGTTCCTGCAGCAGTCTCTTCACAGCCACAGGGAAAAGCTATGTTTTAGTCTGCTGGTATGGGCTCTCATGACTCTGAGTCTGCCAGAGGGGCGGGTGGTAAATAGAGAGTGTCCTAGGTGGGCGGGGTCATTCTGGATCTTTGTAGCCCGTCGGATGAGACTAACCCTAACCCGTTGGAGGAGACAACTCAAGCAAATCTCCTCTAGGTGTGGGAGGGGGAAGCAATGATCCACTGATCCACTTGATGACCCACTGAAGTTGTTTCGTCTCTGATGCTGTGCAGCTGCCATACCACACTGTACACCCATAGAACAGGACACTCTATTGTGCGGCGGTAAAAGTTTTTCAGCAGAGGTGGAGAGAGTTTGTTCCTCTTCAGCGTTCTGAGAAAGAACAGACGCTGCTGGGCCTTTTTGACGATGTGGGTGTGGTGTTCACAGTCCAGCCCAGATCCTCTGAGATGTGCAAAAAAAAAAAAAAAGCAGCACAAAGGGAAAGAAGACAGAGAGACAGAATTCCACAAACATGACAGCTGTGCATATCATTAAATAAGTAATGATAGCGATGTATTTCTTAATGTCTTTCTGTGTCCAGATCTACTCCAACAGAGAACTAGAGGACCAGCTGACCAAGATCAGAGAAGTGCTGTCTGATGACAAACATGACTGGGAACACAGAGTGGTAGCAGTAAGCCAAATTTATGCTGTCTCTCACACACATGCATGTGGGCTACAAGTGCATGAATTCAATGGCAATATACCTAAATATGTGTTTGTCTTGCTCAACTTCTTTTCTGTCTTGTTGTTTACTAGCTGAAGAAGGTTCGTTCACTCATGATGGCAGGAGCTACTGAGTATGAAGGTTTCCCTCAGCAGCTGCGGCTTCTAGAGGCTCCCTTTAAGCTGTCAGCTAAAGACCTACGCTCCCAGGTGGTCCGCGAGGCTTGCATTACACTGGGGTAAGAGGGGAGAATGTACCATCTTAGCAATTCTTCTGAATGCTTTTGGAATGCAACAGTTAGCCCCACATTACAGTAGCTCGTATCTGATGACCTCTGTTTGTACTATATGTTAAAAGTACGTAGTTATTTCACCTCCCTGGCAAACAATGTAAAACGTTGTTAAAGAAATAGAAGATCTTCATCTTGTCCACATCGTTTGTGACAAATACCTCCAGTTCCCAAAAGAAAGTAAAATTGTCCTCTAAACAGCAGTAAAGGAGTGCTTTGCACAGCACTTTGCCCTCTTAGAGTCTCCTATTTTACATGGTTTGCCTACTTTATTTTATTTCTGCACATTGTTAAAAGTAATCTAATGTTTTAGACATTAAGCTGCTTTTTGATTAAGTTAAATTTTCATGTCTTGTTAAAAATGTTTTTAAAAACTCTGTGCATCCAAGAACTGTTAAATCAAAGTAAATGATGTTCTATCGGACAGACTTCTTTTGTAGATTTGTCATGGAAAATACAAACCATTTGAGATTTCTTTTTGTATTGAGTAGCAAAAAAGTTTGCAACATGATGTGTTGGAGTTTGACTTACTTCACATCGCACTTCCCAGCCCATTCTGTAAAACATAATCATCAGGCTGCACCACACTATCTTTGTACTAAAGAGGAAAAAACACTGGCTGGATGTCTTGCTTTAAACTAATTACAGTCGTCTTGGGCAGGGCCAAGCGAAGGATGCGGCTTCAGTTTTGCTCAAAATAGTGACAGGTGGAATCATTGTGTTTAAGCATTTGCATGCAGGGCTGATGAGCGCCGTGATTAAAATGGACAGTCCACCACGAAAACAAGCCGCTCAATTAAAATCCTCGCAAGACTTTTCATTTTCAGTGCGGTAGGTTCCTGCCTGGAGGTTGCTGTTGTTGTTTCTTGTGGCAAAGAAGACAATGGCAGTAACTAAGTAATTGGCCAGTACTACCAGAGCTACCAGAGAGACTACCTGCCACACAACAATTGCAAATGCTCACATCGCAATGTTGATGCTGATACGGTATATGGTGCAGCCCTAATTTATACTGTGATAAACCTATAAAAATAAATTGGAAAAACCTAACAAAACTGTTTGGGGTTTAATTGAAAGTCATTCAGTTTGCACAATTGATCAAGTCTGTTTTAATGGCTTTGATTGGCATCACTGACATTCACTTTAATCTGTAGCTCATTAAGCTCTGCTGTTCACACACTGAAGCCAGTGAAATCAGTCTTGTGCTAGTATGAAACAGAAGGATGCTCTCCATTCCAAAACATCCATCACTGGAATTTTAGTACAACACTGATGAGGTGGAACAGAGCAGAGATGCACGGAAAGAGCAGTAGGTTGATAAATAGATGGGAGCTACATGGATCCTGTCATCTCTTTTAATGCCATTACCACATCTTGTCTCCTAGTCTAGTGCAGACATTGCCCACTGTTACCCCATCACTCCTTCTTTTTTCTGTCTGTGTCTCTGTTTTCTCTTCAGAGGGGTTCTTTCCTAACCAACCTGCTGCTATGTTCATAATCTAAACTGTGTCTTTTACTTCTCTTTCTAAAAGCAATTTGCTTGAATTACAAAACATGAAATAAATCCGCATTTAGGTCCTATACAAGCCTGCCATTTACACCCATCTTGTCAGGCAAAAAATAACACATCACCATGAATGTAACTGCTCTTGTGGAATGCGTTTTCTTTAACACAATGGCATTCTCTCTTTCTCTCTTTGTCAGACATTTGTCATCAATGCTGGGTAACAAGTTTGACCATGGAGCAGAGAGCATCATGCCCATTCTGCTGAACCTTGTCCCCAACAGTGCCAAAGTCATGGCCACATCCGGGGTGGCTGCCATACGCCTCATCCTCAGGGTAAATTAAGGGTTACTGTGGTTCCTTAAGCCTTCTGCAAATATTTTCATACATTTTAGCAACAGTCTAAATCTTTCTTGATACAATTTGCAGTGCTGTATACCATGTATATATGTATACTATCAGCAATATCATCATCATATTAGTAAAAGAGACTTATTGCACAAGAAATAAAGTAACCTTACTTTTGGACTTAAACACTCATGCTTGTCCTTCACTTTCAGCATACACACTATCCACGTCTCATCCCAATAATCACCAGTAACTGCACCTCCAAATCAGTTGCAGTCAGACGGTAAGATGACCTTATTGTTGTTTCTACAAAACATAAATGGGACGTCTCTTCGTATAGTGACAGCAGGTTAAAAATAAAGGCAACTTGAACAGTTGAAATTGTTTGTTTTTTTGCTCTTCTTAAATCTCAGCCATGTTATGACTTGGTTTAAATCACAGAAGCTTTTAGTAACTCCCTCTTTATACAGTTTTTGTTTCTATGTGAAATGTCCCTTGTCATACTGTTGCACATTGAAGATTTGTTCATGTAAACTTTGTCCGCTTTCCAGACGTTGCTATGAGTTCCTCGACCTCATGCTGCAGGAGTGGCACACTAATACACTGGAAAGGTGAGCTCAGTATCTCATCTGTTTTCTTCAAAACCACCAAAACAGCTTGTAGATGTCAGCTGAGTGTCTAGACAAACTAGTAAAACATCTTTGTTGGTGTTGATGTTTAGCTGAAGTGATGTAGACATGTTTCTTCTTCTCCTCCTCTCTCCTCTCATGATGGCATTTGATTTCGCTAACATTTGAGTTAGCTAAGCATTGGATCGGTGCGCCACTGATGAGGCCCATTAAATTAATGAGTCCTGAGAGAGCCGTCATTAAGACTCTGTGATAAGACAACTTTCCATCCCCGTAACCATGACAACCACAGTAGAGACTTTAAAAAGCGTGTGAAAAACCTTGTGGGTGGCCACATTCCCTGTGGATCGCCAGAGGCATAAAACTTGACAGGAGATTAGCTGTTTGTGTCCTCCTCACAATGTTCCCTTACTATCCCAGACATGTAGCTGTTCTGACTGAGACCATCAAGAAAGGCATACACGATGCCGACTCTGAGGCCAGATCCATTGCAAGAAAGTGAGTGATTCTTAATGGTTTTGCATCTATACTTTTTAATGACTTTGTTAATGAGAAAAACAAGTATTCATACATGTCTTTACTTTTTATCCATAGGTGTTACTGGGGTTTCCATGGTCACTACAGCCGGGAAGCAGAACATCTGTTCCAGGCGTTGGAGTCCACTTATCAGAAGGCCCTCCAGTCTCACCTGAAGAGCTCTGACAGCATTGTGTCTCTACCCCAGTCTGACCGTTCCTCATCATCCTCACAGGAGAGTCTAAAGTAAGAAACACAGCCCTCTTTCTGCTTTTGTTATTACCCTTTCCCCATTTTTTCACCGTCTTTCTTGAATTTGTTTCCTCTTTCCTTACCTCTGATTGATGTGTCTTTGAGATTCAGCCACTGTACATTGCCCTCTTTCTTATACTTCTCTTTGCTGTCCTATCTCCTACCTTTTTCTATAACCTCAAAGCTTTTGCACATAGGTTTGATTTTATTGATTTATAGGAAGCCACTATCACATCTGTTTTATTGAATATGATTTAAAAAATATTGGTAATTACTGTCAGATGGGCAGCACACAGCTGAGTGCACAAAAGTCTTGAATCGATTGGCATCATTTACCCAGTTTATAGATTCCCTACAGAGCATGTTGTCGAATGACCTCATATCCAGTCCATTAGGACTGCAGCTGTTGTGGTCACCAGTATTTGTGTTTCAGGAGGTGAGCTCACTTTTCATTTAGGATTATTTTCTTTCTTACAGGAAGCTGAGCTGTTTCAGTCATGACTAATGACCTCCTAACCTGCAACTATCATGTTAAACAGAACTCTAAAATTCAAATAAATTCTGTAAAGGAACATATTATACTGTGAATGTGGCATTTATTATTAATATTTAAATTGTTTTCTAATACACAGAATCCAGAGATATTACATAAATAATTCCATATTAATTGAATTGACATGCAGCCTAAAAAGACTCTTTCTTTTTGTCTTTTTTCAGCCGGCCACTGTCTGTGAAGAGTGTCATTGGAGGGAGCATAACTAGGAGTAAGTCACTTTCTGTTGTATTTCTTGGCAAGGAATATATATGCAGTTTGTCAGACATATGGGGAAGTTAGTAAACAGGCTGCCATTGAAACTGTTCAGATGGAAATTCAAAATTCACTCACCTCGCTAATGCTCGCCGATCAGACCTGGTACACATAGTCTCCCACACAGCACCAGACCAGATCTCACTGGTTAGAATAACATGAGATGCAGTGTGCACATTGTTTTGAAAATGTGTATGAGTAGCAGTTAGGGCTTCACAGCTGGCATTGGTTGTTGTCACAGTTGTTGCTGCACTGTAGCAGTGGGTGTGGACTCTACTTGAGTGGACATGAAAGTAAAAACAGATGTAACCACTTTATTTTGCACTTGAAATAAACTATATTACAGTGACAGTTTATGTTTCATCTATGTGTTGTTCCAGGTAAGCTCGTGGGCACCAGGGTGTCAACTACACCGGGTTCCCTCCAGCGTTCCCGTAGTGATATTGATGTAAACGCTGCCTCCAATGCCAAGTCTCGTCTTTCCACTGTTCCTGCCTCCTCACCGTTCAGCTCTGCAGCTGCCCTCCCCCCAGGATCTTATGCCTCATTAGGTAATGCATCAGTCATCTCCCTTTAGCCTTTTAAAGGCCCAAAGACACACCTGCATTGCAAGAACAAGAAATATTTTTTACTCAGTAAAAAACTGCTCGTGTTAAATTGTAAGTACAAACATATTGACAGAATGTTCTGAGAGACAATTAAAGTAGTTGGAGTGCAAGTGAGTTTTGTCCATGTTATAGTGTAAACTGTCATTGGAGCCAGATAAAAGGCAAGACTAAAAAAAAGCTAACCTTCACTTAATAAAAGACAGAAACACCTTCAAATGAACACTGCAGTGTTACATGTGAAGTGTCACTGCCTGCAGTATTTTAGCAAAGCTTTGTTAACAAAGCATTTTCTCAGTTGCTGACTCAAGCGGTTATTATTCAAAGTCTCCTGCCATTGTAAAATAGTAAAACATTTTTTCCTGTAATCACTGGCTTTTACGGACCTGACTGGGAGTATTAATGACGACTGATGTTGTCATTAGACTGTTCTGTCAACAGGAACTATTTAAATCCTACGCTGACATATTTGACAAATTGATTTGATGAGGCTCAGTGGCCCCTAGTGTGATGCTAACCCATGACACTTCTTAAGGATGTTTTCACTGCCAAGTTAAGCTAATGGTGGATGTTTAAGTCACTCCCTGCCAATAGATTGGAAATTTACTGTAATCTTTTTCCCAAACAGAAACTTCTCTTCCTCGTTTGTTCTCCTTCAATAACTCCATGGTTCGATAATGACCATTACTAACAATGAGGCCCTTTGCTCACCCGCTCATTCCTGTTCCTGCTTCAATTGCTACTAATGTCTTCCTCTATACCTCTCCTCCCACTCTCTGCTGCACCGTCTATCTTTAATGCCCAAAAGATGGTACTCCCGGTAAAAGCGATGGTAAGATTTGTGTGTCTGTGTGATTGTTTGTATTTGTGCAACTGCACAGAGCGGAAGAAAGTGGAGATGTATGAGTGTGTCTTTTTGTCAGATGTCACAGACTTACATGTTTACATTTTCTCTTCATCTGTGCTCTCTTTTCCTCTCTTTATCCCCCAAGTGGTCTTCAGTTATGTGGAACTCTGCATGGGCTGCTTGCATGGATTTCCTCCTCTACTGTAAACCTAACAACTGTATCCATCAACTCTGTTACTTACACAGTGATTCAGTCCAATGTTGCTGTTTTGTACAGAGTTGTTTTTATTTCAGAGAAAAAAACGTTTTCTTCTGTCTTTTTTTGTTGTTTCTCCAAAATTTGTGTATCACTATAACAGATTGTGCGCTGCAAGGTGCCATTAACTAAATAGGTGCCAAATTTGACATCGTGTCATTTAAAATGTGGAGTGTCCTCAGGGCTGCTACATCTTGTTCTGTTGTATATACAACACAAAGACACAAGAAATTCAAAGATTCAGGGAATCTAATCTGTGATGCTGTTTTATGCTCCACATTGTATTTTCTTTGTCATCCAAAGTTCAAATTAGCTGTCAGTTTTTATAATCCTAAAGAAAAGACAATGATCTGGGTTGCAAACATTGATGGAGTCAATCGTAATGCAGATGAAACTGAGCAGTCAATCAGGTATAGTTTGACACAATGTGGTCAGTCTTAATGAATCGATGAGAAGTTAATGTACACAATCTATTCACTGCCTCTCCACTTCAAGGAGACTTATTTTTATCAGTCATCACAGTCCAAGCAATATTGCTGGCTTATTTTGTGACAGCCAACATTAGACATTTTAGGAGGAATTTTCAGAAATGAGAGTGATCATTAAATTGTTTTCCAGAAACAAATGTTTTTCAAAGCAATTTGCCCTCATGATATTCTAAAGGCCCATTGCTAATGTCATATCTTCAGAAGATAAAGGTTAAAAACAGACCCTTTTAGACATGCACTGAGTTAATTAATTTGCAACGGAATGTGTCAGCTTCATGTCTGAATGGACACCCTGGTAACTTTTCTGTAAATGCTGACAGTTATCTTACTAGGTTCAAATGAACTGGAGTGTGATCTGGGTTTTGACCAAACGATAACAGGAGATGAAGTTCAGTTTGCTGCTTCCAGCAGTTTGAAGGAGTCTTTCCGCTGACTTTATTAAATACCAGCAGCATGAAACAGCAGCAGGATTCATGTGAGCATCTGCAAAGAGAGAAAGTTGTGCACCTAAGACAACAGCAGTTACCTCTTTCATTCCCCACATGGAGACAGAATTGGTCAGGATCTAACAGCAAGTCAAAATGGCACATACTTTGCTTCACCTCAAACAGGTGAGCTGCTGCTCAGAGTCACAGTTCAATCATTTGTTACTTAGCAGCCGTCAGAATACCTACAGTCATGGCTATCACAGTATTTTTATTTTACTGTTGGTAAAGTAGTTATTAGATTGTCATCACACGTAAAATTTTATGTGTATCAGAAATCCTAAATAAACTATGCTGTTAGTTATTGGGACAGTTTGATAAGCTGTCATTCTAGTTTTTAATTTTTTTTTTTATTGGTACATTGCTGTGCATTATACATCACTCAATGTACTGTCGAGTTTCACGTGTTCAGTTACACTCCATTTCTGTGGTGGGTATGTCTCAATGAAGCCATGGGGAACATAAATAGAAAACCGACCTATGTCTAAATGACAGAATGCTGTCAGTTTAACAGACTGAAAAAGCAGCAGCAATGTTACATACCTTGTGTGTGAAAAGGGCTATTGAAAGATATTTTCACACACACATTCTTTGTGTTGTATTATCAAATGTATTTGAGGTCAAGTTGCGTGTGGTTACACTGCTGAAGTTGCTTGTGCTGTACGGCAAACACCTTCTGACCCACTTCATGTTTACTACATATAATTGATATTGACATGTTAAATTGTGATGCTTCACAAGGAATGACTCAGTCTTTGGGAAAATGTTCTGTACATGGTATGTTTCTACCTTGAAAACAAAAAGTTGGCATTGCTGGCATTTCACACTTATCCTAATAGACACCTCTAGCTGTGAAGCTAGCATTTTAGCTTGCAATTTAGTATTACCTGTGAATTACAGTAACTATTACTGTTGAAGTTTGTTTACAGATTTTTTTCTTCTCATCTTGTGAAGTTGTACATAAATCTAAAATTCTTTGCCGTTGCTTGTTGTTTCTCAAGCATAGCATATGGGCAGCTGCAAAGAATATTCTGTGTTTTTCTATTCTTCTCCAGACCTGGATCAAAAAAAATTGCAAATATTTCTTACGGTTATATATTATAGAATATAAGTGATACATGACACAAGCACCTAACCTACGCTTGTTTGTGTTCCGTGTCTTTGCTAGCACCAGCACAACTGAGCTCACAGGGCAAACAACAGTCATTCTCATCTCAGGTTTCAGTTTAGAATGAACACTGAGAATTATTCGCAAATACTGATGGACCCAGGTTTGTCTGTTTTCCCCTCTCCATGTTTCCAGTGGTGTTCTGTCCCTTCATTCAGGTCTTCTTCATTCTGTCTCTCCAGACTTTTCTTCTCCAGCATCTGTGTCCAGGGTTGGGGGTAAACAATGATAAATCATTCACATCTAATAAACGTACCTCCTTGCCTTTCTTCCCTCCCCTCTCTTGTTGCTTTTGTTTCCATCCAGGTCGTGTTCGCACAAGGAGACAAAGCTCAGGCAGTGTGGGAGGAGCCAGTACATCAGTTGTGGACAGTAGGGGGCGAAGCAGGGCCAAAGTGGTCTCCCAGTCTCAGCGTATGTGCACAGTCTTCTCATGAATTTTCATACAGTAAAGTTAAATAACAGTTTGAGTTAGAATCACTTTCTGCACATTCAGCTTTTCATAGCTGTAATTGAGCATATTGCACACATACTGTCACTGTCATAGCCCAGTGTTATCGTTGTGTGCTTTGGCTTTGACGTCATACTTGCTGTTTCTTGTGTGTGCCTGTGATCTTTCAGTATCCTGAAAAATACTGCCAGTCACTCACAAATCTTGTCTATTTGTGTGTGTGTGTGTGTGTGTGTGTGTGTGCATCCATGCATGCACAGTATGTACGAATATATATATGTGTACCGTATCTATGTATTCTTGAGATCTGTGAGTGATCAGTACACAGCTAACATGTCCACAGCCACCCAGAGTGCATGCTGGGTAAAAAAAACAATAAACATAATCCCTTCTGTCTCATTTTGACCGTTTTCCACCCTGTCCTGCCTATTGCTTCCATCACCCAGGATCCAGATCAGCCAATCCCATCAGTGGTAAGGCCTCAGCTTCATCCAATCACAAGCCAGATGCCTCATCCCTTTGTCTGCTCTCCTAGCACACAGAGCACGTCATGTCACTGTTGTAGCCTCGTGCATTTGTTCCCCACGTACAGTGTTCGCATGCTCCACTCATTGCATTTATGTGTGATTTCTTTCCCTGTCACAGTTTGGAGTTGGAAATGTTTGCCGTCAGCCATTTTGTTGTCTTTTGTAGTCTTCTTTTTCACTGTTGTGGCATTGTATGTTCCCCACTGGTGACTGGTGCCACAGTAAATGTCTACCCACAGCATAGTTGGTTAGAACAAGGTCCATCCTCCTCACCCTGCGTGTGTGTAGGCTGTATTTGATTGCTTAAAGACTCTAATTTAACTTTCTGGGAAGTTCTTTGGTGTCATTACAACAGTGTTCATTCACCTTTAAATATCAGTGATCTACAGGAGGTTTACACTTGAAGTAGAATAATACACTCTAATATGATAAATTGCCTCTTAAGTTGCTGCACTGTCCCCACAGCATTGTGTCTGATGACTCAGGGCTTGTGAGATTTGACTGAACAGTTTAATTATGTTATTTAAGGTCCACTCCTCGACCCTTATCCCAGTCCCTGAGTCTCACTATGAATATTGGCTAACAGTGGTACATATTTTTTGTGTTTGTTGGTCTTTTCTTCCTCAACAGCTGGCAGCCGCTCCAGCTCCCCAGGAAAGCTCCTTGGACACAGCAGCTATGGGCGGATCCCTCGAGCCACAGCATCGCCCTCCTCTACACCAGCGGATAAGCGAAGCAGGATCCCTCGCAGCCAGGGTTGCAGCCGAGAGACCAGCCCCAGCCGGCTTGGCCTCGGTAAGGCCAGGACTCAGATATGTAGAACTCGCACAAGTCACTGTCTTTCTTTCGCGACAAGCTATGGGTCTGCTTGACTACTGCTTATATGGCTTGTCTGGATTTTTGAATTGCTGTGACTTACAAAAACCAAAAGAATTTGTTGTGAGTCACATTTTTCATATTATTTGATGCTCCAAATAATAATGCTTACTGTTAAGGCAGAACTACCTTCACTTCGTTGATTATTTTGGCATAAGGAGAAAAGCCAAGAAACCAAAACACACAAATGTTGCACAATGTTTTGACCACCATGCAGTATTGATCCTGCAGGTATGTTAATCTCCATGCAGCACATGACCACATGTACTGATAAGTGAGATGAGTGAAACTGGACTTTCCTCTCTTAACTTCCTGACAAAGACATAAGCTCATGCTTCTGTTTTGTCCTTTGAAGTACTCTGACCATCAGCTGTGCACGTGAAAGCATAGGTTTTTATTGTTGATGAAAAAACATTGCCATTGTTTCTTTTCAGTCAGAACACATCACAACAGCATCTGTGTTTGTGGTGGTTTTCACTTTGAGTTCTATTTTCATCACTTTTTGTCCTCAGGTATTTTTTGTGATGTATGGTTAATTAAGAGGTAGCAGTCGATTTGGGTGTTGTTGTAGAGGGCATGAAATGATATATGCCTCATAGATAGTTACATAAAACTGTGCTTGAAACATCCCAGTAAAGTAGAGAAAATGATTACTATGTGATAGTCATCATAAAATTTCAAAAGGGTCGCTGGCTAGTGTTGGACAGAAACCCAGTGCCTTATGACTGTGTAGCTCTGTAGAACCCAGCATGTGATTTAGATGTCAGGGAGAATCCTACCTTTCCTGACAATCTAATTCAACCCACTTTTCCTCATTGATCTTCTTTAATGGACGTGTGGCTTTTGTACCTCTTCTAGATGTTGTTAAAACGTAGTTTTAGTAAGAGGCGTTTTTATTTTTTCTGATGACTTGCAGATCCTATAGTTTAATTTAAAATGTCTGTAGTTAAAAGTTTATTCCTATTCACAGGTTTGTTACGGTAAGGAGATGATATCATTCGTGTTGCTCCGTTACTCATTTTTTAAACACAAAATCTTTCATGTGTTACGTTTGTATGGTGCAAGTTTTAAATTCAGTCATTCTTTTTTTATTTGTCTCATGTTTGTCACAAGTTAACAGTCGATGCTTGAGTTGATCTTTGGCGTGTGACTCTCTAACCTTTACTAGCAGTATGCTGTTTGACCAACTTTCACACCCAGACTGCGCTCAGCCACTGCTGCTTTCTCAGTTTTACTATTTGCCGTTTTCTTTACTCACTCTATTTTCACTCTTCATATCTCTCAATCTTTTATTTTTTCTCTAATCTGTCTCTCTGTCAACTAGTTATCAGTCAGTTGATTATCTGTGCTATTCTTTTTCACGATTCGGCCAGAACAAGAGATTTCAGTGTTGGCAGGGCTGCTAAAAGTCTGCTGCAGCTATGCAAAGTCCTCAGTGGATCATTTGTTACCACATGCCTTCACTGTTGACATCAATGCTATTTTAGTACCTTCATTCACAGAGCTTTTAGAACAGTAAAGCGACTTATTGTTGTTTGTTGACTTAAGATCATTCATATCATTGATTATACTGAACATTGAGTTCTCTCAGCGCCATATCCAGCACTTTACACTTTCAATTTTTTTCTCTTATAATGTCATCCTTTCTTTGATTTCACATCTTCGAGTCTCACACCATCATTCCCCCATGAATGCTCACTGACATTCGCACCTAACTTGTTGTCCTGACAGCCAGCCTGTGTGGTAAAGCTCTTCTTCCTGCTGCTCTTCCCTACCGCACGCTAGCCCGGAGCCGCATTCCCCGTCCCAGCATGAGTCAAGGTTGTAGTCGCGACACCAGTCGCGAGAGCAGCCGTGACACCAGCCCTGCTCGGGGCTTCGCTCCACTGGGTGAGTATCGCTGTGCTAATAGCTGTCCAGGCTATCTCTCCCAGCGAGCATCCCAGCAGGGCGATCTGTGCCAGACACTTACACAAACCTTCTACTCCATCTACTGACTGTTCTTGGTGTTCTCTGCAGTATCTTGCAGCTGTTCTACTTCCGCCGGTCTTTTTCTGTGCATGCACTAACTGTGTCTGTCTTGGTTTTGGGAGCATTACTGATCTATTTAGTGAATACAGCTAATTTGTCCTCCAAATTTCATTTTTGTTTTCATTTTTAAGACAATCTCAGTTTTATCTCCCTTCATTTTGGCCATTTTAAAGTTTAATTTATGTGTTTGAATTATCTCTAAGTAAACACATGTACATAAGAGGTGCTTTAAATCCACATGCTATCATTGAATTTTTTGGAATCACAAGAATTGACAGAGGCATGGAACTAGAATTACAACCACAAGAAATGGCAAGCAATCACTACGGTAACAGTTATTGTCCTAACTCAGCACTTAGAGCTTTATCATCAAAGGTCTGTAAAGCAGGACCAGAGAATTATGTCAGTATATTAGGGCTTAGGACCCAACTCAAACTCAAACCAAGACTCAAACTGTCAGTCTTATTTGATTTTATTTTTTTATAGACCCCTCAGTTAAAATGTTTCTTTTATGGTCCTGTAACAGCTGGCACTGTTCAATTACACATTTAGAGTTTTGCATGCATAGTTTTTTTTGGGTTTTTTTTTTGGTTTTTTTTTTTAAAATCAAACCTATTTTGGCAATAAGGAAATGTGGATGATTTTTTTTTTAAATGATCTAGCTAAATGCAGTTTAGCAGCTGCACTTTCAGGGTCCCGGTATTCTGCTTGTTGCCTGTCGTTGAATAGAGGATATAATAGCCATTGTGAATATTATGGGTATTGCCTGTGCTTTTTCTTTCATGACAAATCCAACTGTTAGTTGTGCTCTGCAGAGTGACGTACTGGTTCGAGCCCTCTGCAATTTTAGATTTTTTTATTTGTCATGATTGACATAAGGTGGAATGCGCTGCAGGTATAGATCATGGAACACTCGATCCTATAGACTCTACCCAAATGTAATCAGTCACCTAGATGTGACCCTTTTTACTCTGCTGAGCTAACCAGAATGATTGTGTAAGCTAAACTACACTGTAAGTTTTTCCTTCAGTTTGAAGTCATATGGGAAATAAAAGTAAAAATCTGAAAACAAAAAACAACATCAACAAAAAAACATTTACGTTTCAACTCAGAAATTAATATTTTCAGTGTAAGGCCAGTAATGTGTGATGGTCAGTGCAGCAGAGTAAAAGAAGTATTCGGAGTCTTACCTTAATCGCAGGTATTTAACCGTGAGCATCACTAACCCCCTGGTATGGATGTTACCCACCTCTCCTGTCCCCTGCAGCCTCCCGACGTCACTCCCGTTCAACCAGCGCTCTCTCCACAGCCGATCCCCACGGCCAGTCAGGTGACCTGCATGGCCAGAACTCCCAACTTCCCAGTCCCTCTCGGTTTTCACCCCAATTCTATCTACTAGCATGATTCTGTGGTTGTGATCAGTGACGTGACTGCAGGCAGCATCCATTGTTCCATTACTCTGTTTTCCCTTCTCAGTAGTTTAGAACATTTTATTTAGTCTGTTATTAAACAACAAAGGTAAGATAGTCAGTTTTAATTTGTTAATAGTTTTGGTTTCATTTGCTTGTCCCTCAGTGCCTTGTTTCATTTTAGCTGGGATTTTTATGAAATTCTGATCCATTTTTTTTTTTAGTGATGTCTATTTGATGGCCTTCAGTTTGTTTATAGATTTGTTCTTCATGCGTTTTTGTTGTTTCCTCCACAAGGAACCTATTTTATTATGTACATACTATTAATGCTGTCATCTGGTTTAAAACCTGTGTCTGTTTTAAATTTGCACGCACAAGTTCATATTTATGGTTTTACATCTTTGGTGCATTGGGGGTTATCTGTGTTCTTCATCTCCAAGGGAAATGGCATACAATTGCTGCAATGCATGCCTGTGTTTTTTCCCCAAAGGATATTGTAACCAGCTATTTGCATTTTTCTTTTGTAACATGTTGCTTTACATTTAAACTTCTGATGGTTGGAGTCAGTCTCTTCAATGATCTTTTCAGCTATTAATTTATAGCATCTTGCTTTATGTTGAAATGTGTCACAAAATACTAAATGCTTTATCTTTATGGTTTCAAAAAAAAAAATAAGCAGGTAAGTTATGATAACCACATTTATCATGTTATAAAGCTTCACTCACCATTTTCTCTACCTTTTTCTCTCCCTGCTTTGTCTTTAGACCGATATGGTTTGATTCACCAAGCAAGAATTTCTGCGTCAGTTAATGCCATGCGGGTCCTTAACACTGGCACTGAGGTGGAGGCAGCAGTTGCTGATGCACTGGTAGGTTGATGTGGAAGTTTAGAGGAGGCAAATGTTAATAAATCTGTTATTTTTGAGAGGGGAGAAGTCAAGTCAAGGTTTCTGTGATCATTGAAAAAGGTGTTTTAGATTACTTAAATGCTTTCTTAAAGTGTGGCGGCAAACCATGTAGTGCTGAGCAATTGAGTGATTTCAACTTACAATTTGAAACAATGCAATTAGCAAATTGCAAAGGTTGCTCATTACTCATTTATTCAGCACAATTTTCAAGTGCTGAATTTCTAGATCCTCTCTTGTGAAGATTTTGATTGTAAATCAAATATCTGCATATTTTACCAAGTGTTTGCCACGGGGAAACTGTGACAGACACCATTTTCTGACAGTTTACATTGTGAATATTTGATTTCCACAAGACTTTCGTGTCAGTGGTTTTACAAACTCATGCAGCCCAACTTGTGTGTGTCCTTCAGTTAAGCTTTTCATGGTTTTTAATCTGTTACTCAGTTAATATTAAAGTGAAGTTTGACTTTAAGTATATTATGTTGCAAATCAAATCACAATATCTGTCAGAAAAATCTCATGACATTTTTCCCCAAGTTGTTTAGCCCTGAAACCAAGTTAAGTCAAGGAAGTTTTACACACACTCATTACACTATTATTTTTAAGTATTTTGTTACCCTAAACAGCAAAAACTTGCTTGATTGCTAAAGCAGACAAAATGAGTGCCTATGCATGAATATGACTTTGGTGTAAAAGATAAATCAAAATGTTAACATACTTCTTCATTTTGACCTTTATTCAGAATATCAGCACCAATAAAATCGTTTAGATCAGTTGTAACATCGACAGTCTAGTCACATGTCTTTTGCATACCCAGAAGGATTGTACTTGTTCTTTATTCCTCCTTTAAACCTTCCCTCTCTCCTCTTTCCCTCTTGGTGGTTTGTTACCATTTCAGCTATTAGGAGACTCCAGGAATAAGGTAGTTGGTCATTTTACATACTGTTCATACATCCATGCCCTCACGCACTAATACAGTTCAGAAAACAATAATGCAGCTTCGCTCTGTTTTACCTTGAATGTTTATGTCCATCGCATCCCAGATGTGTGCGTATATGGTACCCCAGCAAAAACTGTTTTGTGATAAAAATATGTTAAACCTAACTGGTACATAATTCATATGAGTTTAAATATGCTCTTCTGTTGACATGTTCCCCATTGCACTGCATCATTAGTTCTTTAGACCTTTGCTTACTTGTGGCACTGCTTGGCCAGCTTTTGATATTAAAACAAACAGAAAAGGATTTCTTTAATTTTTAACTGAGGAATTGTGCACCACATACCATACCCGTGTATGTAAAAAATCTACGCATAAATATCCACAGAATACAACTTGATTTGTACATTTTATGTTACTGTAGAGAAAACTGCATGGCTACCAGATGCAACTGGCACCCTTGTCTCAACAATGAGAGTTTGTTTAAAGGTTGGTTAATATTTAGATGCCATACTGTGGGTCTGATATGTCCCCGATGCTCTTCTTTCTCCAACAGAGGAAGCCACTGAGGAGGAGATATGAATCACCGGGGATGTACTCCGATGACGATGCCAACAGTGATGCATCTAGCGCATGCTCGGAGCGCTCATATGGCTCACGAAATGGAGGCATCCCTCATTATCTGCGCCAGACAGAGGATGTGGCAGAAGTCTTGAACCATTGTGCCAGCTCCAACTGGTCAGAGAGGAAGGAGGGTCTGTTGGGCTTGCAGAACCTCCTCAAAAGCCAAAGAATACTGAGGTGGGTTTAAGCTCATAAGTCTGTAGCGGTTTTCACATATGCACTGCAGCCTTGAAATTTTTTACACATTATCCAGAGGAGCTGTACATAAATATAAAAAAAAATCAGCTTTACCAGGTACTAAACAGACTTTACCCCACCACCTCCCTCACATAAAGTCAGTATAAAATATAAAGTGTAATGTCCGATGAAGCCATGTGTGAATAGAGTAGGGAAGTCATAACAAGGGAGTGTGCATGCTGATGTGTGTTATGTCTTGCCTCCTGCATGCTCTACTCAGAGTTCTGGACAATGTCTAAAGAATCATGTCCAACAAATCATGTCTGAGCATTGTCCAGAGTTCAGCCTATGTAAAACATAATGCCACACTGAAACTGTGAGCTTTGGTTTTCTGTGGCCAGTTTGTGGCAACACAAAGTGGACTCTGGCCTGAGTCTAGTTACTCTTTACTGTAGTCGAGGAACAAAGATGAAAACAAGTATTTCAAAAATGGAAAATTATGGTGATAAGAAAGATCCCCTAAAGCCCCATTTGGGCAGGATTAACTTTATGGGAGGAGTCGGGAAATAAAATATGTATTGCTGTTCTCTAGAATTTAACTAATTGTTGGAATTTTAAGCATTGTGAAATACAGGATATTCTGCACTAGACACTCTAACCAGGAACCAGTACTACCAGTAGGTCACAACAGCTACAGATGAAATAACTGTCCATATGATGAGCATGCAAGGTCATGCTGTCCTGATTTGTTGCGTTGTGCTTTTTGTTCAATACAGTCGAGTGGAGCTGAAGAGACTTTGTGAGATCTTCACGAGGATGTTTGCAGATCCGCACAGCAAGGTAAAAAAATATCCACTTCAAAAACTAAAGAATGATTTGGATTAACAGTGACTTTCATGTAAATGCATGGTATCCAAAACAAACCAATGAATGATGGTGCTCCTGTACATTATGCTTGTATACTGTGACTTATTTGGTACTAATGAAGTGTCTCTTGTCGCATGGTCTGCCTTGCTGTGGATTTACCAACAGAGAGTAAGTGTGCTATTCAGTGCATATTCTAGACACACAGGCATTAACCAAAATCTGACTGAACTTTTTTTTCTTTTTCTTAAAGAAAGCAGTGCTTTTGAAGTAAATGTTTGAACTGCACATATGTTCTCAGGTGTTCAGCATGTTCCTGGAGACTCTTGTGGACTTCATCACAGTACACAGGGAAGACTTGCAGGACTGGCTTTTTGTCCTGCTCACCCAGCTGCTGAAGAAGATGGGGGCAGACCTGCTGGGATCAGTCCAGGCCAAAGTCCAGAAGGCCCTGGATGTCACAAGGTCTGAAATGAAGCACCAACAAGGCTGTTCAGGGCACAGAGAGGGGAGAGATAGCAAAGATAAATGGCTGTTCATCTCTAGTGGATGGAGGGGGCATTCCATGCTACAGAAAATGAGTTAATAATTTGGTTAGGATGTAATGTAAACTTGAGTTACTTGGTTAACCCTTGGAGTGACATCTGTTTAAGAGACAAACACTCAGTCATTTCTCAATTCTATCTGATTTATTCTCAGCTTTTTATGTAGTTTTCTAGCAGACTACAGGGTAATATCAAGGGCAAAGCTAACTTCTCTTGTCTTTGTCTATGTTAGGGAGTCCTTCCCATTTGATCAGCAGTTCAACATTCTGATGAGGTTTATTGTGGATCAGACTCAGACACCAAACCTCAAGGTAAAGCAAAGATTGACTCTGTTTGAGGGCAAAATGATTTTGATCCATCAGTTTAATTGATATTAGTTATGTGACCAGTTAGACAAGTGACCAAAAATTTGTGTTTTCCACAGGTGAAGGTGGCCATTTTAAAGTACATAGAGTCTCTGGCTCGGCAGATGGACCCCACAGACTTCGTTAACTCCAGCGAGACACGACTGGCAGTGTCTCGCATCATTACTTGGACCACTGAACCCAAAAGTTCTGATGTCAGGAAGGTAGGTCAGCTCTCTGTGTTGAATCTGCTCTGAGACCAAAACATCAGCTAGCTTTAATTATTCTTTTTTCTTTGTCTGACCCACAATATGCAATACTAAACTGTTGTAATACCTTATCAAGTGTGTGAGAAAACTAATTGCAAAGCTTATTCTTTGAGACTTAAAATGTATAGTAAACTTTAAGTTGACTTTAAAAGGTTTCTTTGCAGAAGCAATCCATTGTTCCTCAAGAAAACCTTTTTTCCTTGACAGTCAGAATTTACCTGACAGTCAATGGCATGTTGTATACCTCTGCATTTTTTTTTTTTTTCATTTCAATTCTTCAGCCTGTAGTGTTTGTCTTGCAGCAGTTGTAAACTTTGATAATAGGCACTCTCCATGTGGATGGCCTTGGGTCAACGGCCCATTATCTTTCCCTTGTCTGATGCGCGTCATATGTTCTCCCGCTGTGTTCCTGACTGTTTGTTTTTCCACTGATCTTCTTCCAAATTAAATCCTCACCTAGTTCCAAATCAGGGCCGTGCTTCCTTCAGGCAAGCAATAAATAAATTTATGAGAATAGAATAGGTGTGTCAGCAGCATTTTCTGTTAAGACTAATCCACATCATAATGGACTGTACCAGGTTGCTATCAAAGATTGGTTCTGTGTTCATCCACACATGATGGTGGAGAACTTGTGTCATGCTGTAATGCCCATTCTGCTGTGCTCCAGACCCTTCATAACTGGGTGAGCGAAGAGCTAGCTGGCAGGTCCAGTACTGCAGCCTTACTGTCCACTGAGGGCAACCAGGAAGAAAGGTGTAAGCAGGTAGAGCCCGCTCCAGTAGCCTATCACAACACAACAAGCACGCAATGTCCCGCCTGCTCGGTGCCTAACCACCAACCTTCAAGACTGTGAAAACAGAGTTTCGCATCTCTCACTCACCATTTATGCTCCAACTGTTTTGCTGTAACAAATTAAAAGCAGTGTTTGCCTTGCAAATTGATCACTCACCAAATAGATTGAGCTTGTTGTGCAACCAGGAAAAACTTGAGTTTAACCTTCGGTATTCCCACACATTTCAGGAAGGCTTGTTGCTTTGAATGAATTTGTATGGTTTCTTTCATTTTAATGCTCAACATTGATAGGAATGCTTTTTCGTCACTACTGTGTGCCTAACACATTTTGTCTGTTTGACTCACTAACAACCTGTCAGCCTCCCGCATACCTGCATGTTTTTCTTTTTCTACAGGGGGGATCAATACCATTTTTAAAAATATACATTGATAGTAGTGTTTTGTTTAAATCAACATACAATGAGCGCAAACTCCATGAAACTAAGAGCCAGATGTTACTAAATAACTGAAGTGTATCCCTCACAAATGGACGAATAAAAGCCTGTTCAGTGGGGTGCCCAGATAGCTCGGCGGGTAGGGTGGGTGACCCATGTATAGGGGCTTTAGTCCCCGACGCAGCGGCCATGGTTTGATTCCAGCCAGCTGCTCATTTGCTGCATGTCATTCCCCCACTCTCTTCCCCACGTTTCTCTGTCTGTCTTCACTGTCACTATCATTAAAGGCAGAAAAGCCAAAAAAAAAACATCTTTAAAAAAAAAATTTTTTTTAAAAAGCCTGTTCAGTGCTTTTGATTCACTTGTTTAGCCAGTGACTTTCAGAGTCATAGCTTAGGTAGAAAAGTCAGCTAAACTTACTCATATTACAACATACAACTTTACATTTACACCACCTTCGGCATTATGGGCACCCTGATGGCAGTCTTAAAATATATTATTGCCACAAGAAAACAGGAAAGGAAAAAAAAAAAAAACACCCACAAGAACAGAAATCAACTATTTTTTTGTTTTGTTTTGATTATTATATGCAGTGCTGGTCCCCAATCCTGTAAACATAGCTGATAAATGAACACAACAAAACTGGTTCTGGGTTGGCACATTTCTATTGCTTATTAGAAAAAGTGCACTGGAGGCCCTCACATATCAACTAAAATAGACCATTTCAGACAAAAAGATTTTTTTAGTTTATGTTGTATAGATTTTTGCTTCATGATGAGCCAAACTGTTACAAGCCAAACTGTTGTCTTTATTCTGTTATTAATTTGTGTTTCCCAGTGACAATAACAAACCAGCACTTTCCAGAGGTCTTTTAAGTTTGTCTGTACTCACTTGCATGTTGTAACGTTGATATAACGACAATGTCTCTGAAGACTTGTTCTTCTTTAGTTTGCCACTCAATGCATCTCTCAACATTCACCATTGAATAACTTTCTTTCTACAGGTTAGTGCGTACGTTAGTCCACCAAGCAATGCACTGTGCAGTTGAAAAGTTGGTTTTCATGGGTTCAGAATTGTTCTGGCCTTTACTGGCAATAACCTTTGCATCAAATTATAGTCTTCTATGGTTTTATTGATGCTGGCCATGTAGGAATTTGTGGATTTGTGTTTATTTTTTTAATCTTTCAAACTACGAATCTTACTCTGGTGAAATTATTGTTTGAAAAAATATGGCCAAAGTAACTCTGAAACCAAGAAAACCATCTTGAACTTTCTCCGGTGTTGTTTGATCTTTCCTAACCTGTTGTGCTACACTACCTGTAGGCAGCTCAGGTGGTGCTGATTGCCTTGTTTGAGCTCAACACCCCAGAGTTCACCATGCTGCTGGGAGCCTTGCCCAAAACCTTTCAGGATGGAGCCACTAAACTTCTGCACAACCACTTGAAAAACTCAAGCAATACCAGCAGCAGCGTGGTAAGTCAAATTTATTTTATGATTTCACTGGGATGAAAATAGGGCTGCACAATAAATTGTTTCAGCACTGAAATTACATTGCACTCATGTGCTAGAGTAAGATTGCAGGAGCATTGAAGTAAGGCAAACTGACTCAAACACATCATGTTGCAACTTTTTTTGCTGCTTGAAATAAGAAGAAAACTCAAATGGTTCTCATTTTCCACGACTAAGCTACAATAGAAGTCTGTCTGACAAATCATGATTTACTCTGATTTAAGGGTTCTTAAAAAACAAGAGTTGTTTTTTTTTGTTTTACTTTATTTACAAGACACAGAGTTTGTTAGTATGCAGACTCCACGTGTGCACAGCAAAATAAGTGAGAAGCAGTAGAGAAACACTGAGAAGAAAGACAGAGCATCAGTTATATCGAAACACTTCAGCTACAGAAAGGATAATCAAAACAGATCCCCTGTCAGAAGTGTGCAGCAACTTTTGCTGGCCTTTCAACTATTTAAAAAAGAATACAAATTTTGATGCACTTGCCTACAAAATCACACCAGTCATTCTAGATTTTTTTTTTTCTAAATAGAGATATTTAAGTAATCTGGAGATAATTCCTGTATTTTTCTTGTCTTTTTTAAATATAGCACAATATATGTCACAGAAAAACTAAACAATGCAATGCCAGTTGTTACCCATATAATGCAGCCCTGGATGGAAAATGATATATCTGACCTCAAAAGGTGATGATATTTTTAGTTTGATGATATTCATTAGTTCTAACAGACCATTAGTTCAGGAGAACCATCACATACTGGGGCTAGCCATATTTAGGGCCTGAGCACGACCAGTGCAAGGACCCTATTGAAGCCCTTGTGATTGTTGTTATTATTATTTTTCACCATCAATAAACCCGTTTTTGAGGGCCTATACATGTACGAAAACTTACACACACATTCGCACGGTGACCGAAATTCATGTCACAATGAAAATGGGCATGGAAATGACAAAATGGCTCCTCCACAGCGCCCCCTTGAAAATTTCAACGTACTCCTGTCACAAGTACATTTGGTCTAGACTGGGGTCGGCAACCTTCAATAGTCAGAGCCATTTGGACCTGTTTCCCACAGAAAAGAAAACACCGTGAGCCACAAAATCCTTTTGACTTCTAAAATAAGGATAACACAGATAGCATATATCGTTTTTAAGTTAATGCTATATATTTAAAAAAAAAAAAAAAAAAAAGTATAGTGTGTTGCATTTATAAAATTAGGGAACTACGACAGAGAAAATGAAATTTTATTTCTGCATGCTACAAAAACATTTTGAACACTGAAAAAAAAGACGCTGGGTTGAATGTTACTTTCAAATAAAATACTCAATGTCTATTTGAGTCCTCCTTGTATTTATGAAATAGAAAGCCAAACTTAAATTATCCACCTGCAGCAAAGTAAAACTGACATCTGGTTGTCCTGCTGACTGCAGCTGGGACTGCTGACCAGACTCCTGACTACCTGTGAGCGCTTTGGGACTGGAGGAGCTCAGGGCAGCACCTGCTGCTCACTGACGATAGTAACTGCAGAACGATACGTGTTTTCACATCAGAGTCTCCAAAACACCAGAAAAATCTTCATTAACACCAGAAAGAGTCGCTAGATTTGTCCCTAGTCACTTTTGACAAAAAAAACCAAAAAAAAAAGTCGCAGGAGGATTTGGAAAGTTACCAGATTTAGGGAGAAAGTCACCAAGTTGGCAACACTGTGCATGCCGGTGGGTATCACACATCGGCAAGTGTGACGCATATTTTGAGCAACAAAAAAAACAATTGAACACATCTTATTTTAATCTTACAAGATAACCATAATCTTCAAATTCAGAATTGCATTTTATAAACTAACGAACTGAAAAAAATAAATTTAAGTTAAATGCTCATTTATTTTCTGAAGCCACAAGGAGCTGCAGCAAAGGTATGAAAGAGCGGCATGCGGCTCCAGAGCCGCGGGTTGCTGACCCCTGCTCAACACCTACGCAGTTTGGTAGGCATATAGAGCAGGTCAGCGGAAACAAAAAAGTCAACCAGCTCCAAGCTCTAAAATGCAACACGGCTCATCTGCGCCCCCTACAATATTTCAACAGAGTCCCATCGCGGCTACGTTTGACTTAAGAGGTAGGAACATCGGTACACATATGTAGCAGGTCGTGATGCACAAAAAGTCCATTAGCACTTTTCCGTAAACCCAGTACGAAATCCGACATTTTGGAAAAACGGCGAGCATGCCGGGCGATTTTTGCTATTTTTGGCCAGTTTCACAATGATCTCCTCCAAGGGGTTATGTTGTACACACCTGAAATTTCACCAGCACAAACTACAGGATGTGGTGATTAAAAGTTGTCAAAACGCTCCGCATAAATCTGACGGCGTGGAAATGCCGGTCCGTGCAATGTAGATGAAAGGCCATTTTGCGCATTTTCACTGTGTTTCCGCCGTTCAATGGAGTCCCGTCGGAAGGTTGTTTCACCTACACCTACAAAATTCGGTGGGCATATGTAGGAAGTGAGGACGCACAAAAAAATCAATCAGCGGCAAGCCCTAAACCCAACAAGAAGTCCGCCATTTTGAAAAAAACTGTGAGAATTTTGGCGATTTCCCGCCATTTTTGGCCATTTTCAAACTCTATCTCCTCCTACAGGGAAGGTCATACACACCTGAAATTTGACCAGCACAAACTACAGGAGGTGGTGATTAAAGTTACCAAAGCGGTCTGCTAAAGTCTGACGCCATGGAAATGGTGACCCGTACGCCATAACACGCCATAATATGAGACATGCTGTGTTACTGGCCTGTGTGTGCTCCAATCGGCCTAAAGCTTTACACGCGTGCTCCAAGTCTCAGCCGGAGCGCGTTTCCGCCACGTCCAACACGCACACCGCCGCGGCTTGCCACTAAACAGGAATGGGCTCCTATCTACGCCACACATGCTCCGATCTGCCCGAAACGCGACACGCCGAATCACAGTCCCGCCCGGAGGACGTTTGCACCACACCCCAACGTACTCCACAGTCGACAATCGTACGGCGAGGACCCGTCCATCACCGCTTGCGGCTTTAATTAGATTTTATTTCCTTGATTTCCAGGGATCTCCGAGTAACACCATTGGCCGGACGCCACAACGCCACACTCCCAGCAGAACCAGCCCTCTCACCTCACCAACAAACTGTTCCCACGGAGGACTGTCTCCAAGGTAGCTAATTGCTGTTATCAAATTGTTGTCCACTGTATAACACACCTGTTGTCTTAATGCACGGCTATGGTTTAACCATGTGGATACGGCTGCTGTCATGATCTGTCATTTGTAGCCAAACTAACGCAGGTGGGTTGGTAGAGGTGTTACACTGAGTGAGTTGCTCCAAGAGATTGCAACATATATTTCATCCATATGCACAGATAGAAAGTCCAAAAGTCAAATACTACTTACAAAACACCTCCTACCTACTTGACAAAATATGTGACACAATTGTTGCTGTGAAACAGTTGACAAAGGGCTCTTTCAAGTTGTCACATATCAGGCTGTTATCTAATATGAAAAGCAGGGAAGAACTGTTTACTGGCTCCTGTAGCAGATTGTTGCAGCCAGTTCTCAATAACAAAGCTTAAATCTTTCAAACTGAGCAGCTCATTCAGCTGATGCACTTCACCTTTACCGTCCTTTTATCTGCTAGCAGAAGCCCATAAACTCTGATTCAGAAGTTCGTAGATCTCTGACTGATTACTGTAATTGACCTGCAGTACATTTTGTGTTGAGATAACTGTCATCCAAAAAAAAAAAAAGCCCTGTCACTCACGATGGGAAAAACTTTTATTTGGAAAAAACAAACAGACTTTGTGGGTTTCTGCTCGTTTCCGGTGCTCTCCTTTAAATTAACACTTTCCCTTAACCCTAAAGCTCAGACTAGTTTCTTTGTGTCTCTTCTCTTTCTGCACTCTTGTTGTTTTTCTCTTTTTCCTCCTCTCGTTGTCTCCTTGTGTTGTCAATTTCCATCCACCTTGCCCCACTTTCTCACTCCTGTCTGTCCGTCCTTCCCTCCCGGCCGTGCTGTGGCAACAGTCGGTTATGGGGTTGGGGTGTCGACGGACTGTCAAAGCACCCCCCTGCCCCTCCTCCTCCTCCTCCGCCTCACTCCACCCCTGCTGCCCCCTCCCTAAGGGTCCTGCGCAGAGCATACTCACCCAGGTAATGAGGCGGGCTGAGACACAGGAGATTATGCCCTTCACAAGGCCACACCATGATCCTTTTCTGTATCCAGTCTTCCTTTGTCTGAACCAGTTAAGATCTTATTTTTATTTTGCTCATATGTCAGTTTCGTACTGACCATCATTTCTAATAAAATGGAAACACAATGCAGCAGTGAGTGAAATCCATAAAAAGCCACACTTAAGGTTTTCATAAGTCCTAACCTTTCGCTCTCTCAATACTAATCTGTTTGCCTGCCAAAAGCAATACTAAAGCACTTTGTATGTGTATGTGTGCAAATTCATGCTGTGTATCTGATTCTGATACACACTTATATATAAACGTGTGCATTTCTTTCTGTTTGTGTCTCTGTTAGCATGATGGAATATGACACAGAGAACATGAATTCGGAAGAGATCTACAGCTCGCTTCGCGGTGTCACTGAGGCCATCCAGAGCTTCAGCTACCGGAGCCAGGAGGACCTCAATGAGCCAATCCGAAGGGAGGGAAAGAGGGATGATGCAGTAAGTAATGAGCTTGTCATCCAAGATCATTTCCCTGAAGATTTCTGCTTGCATCAGGAAACCAGTTGGTTGAACTATGCATTAAATATTTTGACTGAAGTTTATTTAATTTAAATGTAAGAACTGTGTTTTTGGAAATGGAAAAAAAGTTAAGAAATTGTCACTTAATTTTCCCAGTCTGTATTTTAAAGTATGCATTTACAATTTTTTTAAGGCTTCAAACAATACTAAAATTGCCCATATATGATCAGCGACGTAAGTTTCCAAATGAGATCTTGAACACCAATCTCACAGAAATCCCTGTTCATCGTGGAGCTAGCTGTAACGTGGGAGGCTGCAGTGAGTGAAGCGTATGAATGAAAAAAGCGGAAGTACACCGACTTAGCTTTTGAGGCACAACAAAAAGGCTGCCGCACACAGGTGCTCCCGGTAGAGGTTGGGTGCAGAGGATTTGTGGCCACATCCACAACCATGCTCCTGAAGGGGGTGTGAGTTAAGGGACAGGCCCTCAGGAAAGCCATCAGATCATTGTCTGAGGCAGCAGAGCAAAGCAGCAGGTGGATTTGGATAAAAAGAAAGGACACCAACTGGGTCACAAAGCTCAGTAGAGAGGAGTAGAAGCAGAAGGGGGCTCACCTGGGACGCCAGGTGGTACCGTTGAGCCCTCTGGAGGTGTTGTGGGCCTATCAGCGAAACACCGGTGAAGGAGGGTGCCCACCTGATGTCCCTGATGACGTTGTTACTCGTCCTCCACTTAAATCCTTTGAACTCTACTTAGAACTCCAATGGAAGCGACCTCCTCCCCTCTTCTTTCACCCTCCTCTCCTCTTCACCTTCTTCCCCTACTCCCCTCTTCCCTCTTTCAACTCAAATCCAGGAAGTGCTAATTACTAGGGATGTTAACAAGTCCTATGAGCTGAAACTTAGAGTCATTTAGAATTATATGGAAATCGTAGAATTGTACAAGCTCTGAATGGTAAAAAAGTACTGTTTTAAAACACTACTGTTTAGGGCGGCTGTGGCTCAGGTGGTAGAGCGGTTGTCCTCTAATCGCAAGGTTGTTGGATCGATCCTCCGCCCCTCCACAGTCGAAGTGTCCTTGGGCAAGACACTGAATCCGAATTTGCTTGGCTTGCATGGCAGCTTTGTCACCATTGGTGTATGAATGTGTGTGAATTGGTGAATGAGAAAAAAGCTGTAAAGCACTTATGAGTACCACTGAGGTAGAAAAGTGCTGTATACGTGCAGACCATTTACTATTTACCATTTACCATAAAAGATATGGAGGAAATTGTTATTGATAAAGGAGATTGAAACCTATAAATAAAAGTTCTTCTCCCTCCTCCCTTCCTCCTTCCCATCTTTCAGGCAGGGAGGGAAGGAGTAGCATCATCTCCTGGTTCTGATGCCCGCTTGGGCTTAGAAATGGTGGAAGGAGGTCGCACTGCCTTGGACAACAAGACATCACTGCTAAACACACCATCACCACGCTCTTTCTCTGGGCCACGGAGTCGTGAGTTCGCTCCATATGGCTACGGAGAAACCATCTGCACCTATGACAAGAGTGCCCTGAAGGAGGCCGTCTTTGATGATGATGTGGAGCAGTTCCGTGACTGTGAGTGATAGCACAACCACAACACTGTGTTTTTGCAGCAGACTTCAATATCACAGTTTACTGCACACAAAATGATATCAAGCACAAATATTTAAAGTTTTAGGAGCTTTCTTTTTCTAAAACAAAGTGGTTTTAATCTACTGACCTGTTGTATAAACATATCACATGTACCAAATGTTCTGAAACTGTCTTACACATGGTCCTTAAATTATGGTTTTATTACATAATGGAAGGCATTACTGTTGGACGGCTGCAGTATACGAAATTTCTTGCATAGTATATTGAATTGCCCCATAAACAACTGATATTATTTTTCAATCTTTATGGGTTATATATTGTAGGAACTGAAGAAATAGATTTTTTTCTTTATAATTTTCATGAAAATTCTCCTTTTCCTCCATCCTGTAATGAGACCATGTCATGTCTTGACTTGACAACACAAAAAGAGCGACGATGTTCAGACTGGAAACAAGAAATTTCCTCCACCAAAATTGTGTCAAGTATTGTGTATAGTCTTCTTTGAATTAGATGGGCAAACATTGTCTTTATGCAAGCTGACACAAGTTTACACAAGCTATCGAACAAACAGGTGAGACTTTCTCTGCATAATGTTCACCACAAACACAGGTGTATGTGAGTCTGCAGCTCCTCTGTTAGCCAGTCTCTGCTTCAGTTGTTGTTGTCATCACATCCTTTTCTCTACACCCTCCTGTGTCCCCTCTATTCCCAACCTCCACCTTCATCCCTCCTGCACCCCCCTCCTCTCCAGGCCGCCGTCAGGAAATTGGTGAAAACAAGATGACACTCCCCAAGGTCTTCCCTGGTAAAAATGCCGACCCTACCTGACTGTCTGAGACCCATTGACAGACCTGATGACTTTCTGACTGCCATTGCCACCCATTGTCTATGTTTGCATTATTCACTCGGCTCTCTCAATTCCCTTCGTCTTTTCTTCATGGTCTTCTAACTTCTTTTAACTCCACCTAATGCCTGAGTGCTGACTAAGTCCATCCTATCCTGTCTGTAGTACAGATCTAGCTGGCGGGTGGATGCTTTTTATAGTGGTGGCATTCTTAGTAATGAACTGAATGTTTGGGTGATTATAAAGCTATCTTTATTTCATCTGTAGAGATCGGGCTTATGACCTAATCAATAACATATTGTGAACAACTGAATATCGAGACATTGACATCTCCAAAATACATTAAATGGTAGTAGCCTAACATACTAACATCTATAGCACAGTGATAAAGTATATTTTGTTCAACATGACATGAGGCAACTATTGAAAATAAAAGTTAAAAAAAAACAAAGAAAAGAAAAAGAAATTAAAAGTAAATAACGTCACAGCCGGCAATAAAGTTGTACATCATTTCTCTACTGTATATATCTACATTCATTTTACTTGGCACAAATTTTTATACATTTTGTGTCAAAATCTGATTTTTTATTTTTATTTTTTTAAATTTAGGCTACAAAACTCATTTCTAAAATGACACACATAATGCCCAGAGTGCTGCAACTTTAGGTATTCATGGCATACTTCCAGAGCTGTGTTTTCATCTTAGAATGCTAAGCCATCTTGCATTCACTCTCAAAAGTGCAGTTTCCTCTAAATACGTAAAAGTCTGTATTTTCAAATTGAAATTGGTTGTATTTTCCATTTTGATATGACAGAAACTTTTGTAGTAGAATTATATAAAGTGGAAACTGGTACAAATGCCGTCTGTTTTCTTTTAATCTTGAAAAAATAGATAATGCTAAGATTGGATTGATTTTGATTGCAATTTTTGGTGCAATTTGATGTTTAATTCATCACTCTCATCATCTCTTGGCAAGCAGTTGGTCAGGACCACTCAGACCTGGTGGCTGATCTGCTGAAGGAACTGTCCAATCACAACGAGCGTTCTGAGGAGCGTAAAGGCGCCCTGGTGGAGTTGCTTAAGATTGCACGAGAAGACAGCCTGGCTGTGTGGGATGAACACTTCAAAACCATCCTCCTCCTCCTGCTGGAGACACTGGGTGATAAAGATGTATGTTATCTGATGGCTCAAATGACTGATTGTGTGTACACTCTTTTAGAGGTTTGCTAATTATTGTGCAGTAGCACTGTGAATATTCATGTTTGGAGTATATTGAGTACCACTGAGTTTAGCAGACATAAGTGAGAACCACTCGTGGTAATCTGAAGAATCCGAATGTATGCATGTGTGGATATTGATCAAAAACTCAAATTCTAAATTGTTAAACATTTTTACTTTTAACTGACTTCTTGTGCTACTGTTTCCTGCAGCACACCATCCGAGCCCTGGCCTTGCGTGTGCTCAAAGAAATTTTGAGGAACCAACCAGCCCGCTTTAAGAACTATGCTGAGCTAACTATCATGAAGACACTGGAGGCTCACAAAGACTCTCACAAGGAGGTACGGCTTTGGCAGCAAAACTGACAGTAATCTGTTGCAGTATTTGATTTTTTTTTCACTTGGACCCAGGAGAACACGCTGAACACTAACGTAGTAGTATGTCTAATATGTTTATAAAGACAACATCTGGCAGATATTGAGCAACACTAACATTCATTTGGTGTCATGTGTTCACCTGATGAATGTGAGTCAAATATTCATTCACTGATTAGCTCTCTTTTTGGTCTCTCAAATCTCTTTCTCACAAGAAAAATAACTGCCTGTCCACTTGTGAAGGTTTAAATAGTAGTGGGGTTTATGTCCAAAGGAAAACATAATTTTACTATGTTAGCTCTCTGAACTATGAGAAGTTCTGTACCTCCGTGAAAATGGTACACCCTTGGCTAGAATGAGAGAGAACTCAAAAATGTCTGTTGTGCAGCAAAGCAACATTATACTGCTAGAAGTCATAAAAAAGGAATAAACAAAAGTAGAATTTTTTTGATGAGTTATTTTACAATCAAGAAAAAAAACTGGAATCAGCACATACATATTTTGTGGTTATCAGTATGAGAATAGCAATAGCTGAAACCAATATCTCCAACCTTTGACCCTTAACTGAGGATCAAACAGGAGAAACCCTGGGAGTTACTCAGGGCTGCTGAGAAATTTCCCTGCCATGTTGGTCAGGTGTGCAGCGGGGTACACAGACTACGTAAACAAAGATCACATGCTGATAACAAATTGAACATAAAATACACAAAATAAACATTGAGACTAACCTCAGATGAAACTTCCAGATCATTAATAATCCACAGAACCAAAGTTCAAAAGCAGACAACAAATTAAACTAATCCACAACAAATGCAACATCCAGAGTACAAAGTGTACTCAGGATCATCCGCTTGATGAGCCTGAATACATTTCTATGTTGATTTCTTAGGCTGAGGGATTCCAGAGGGATTCAGGTATCCCTGCTGACCCTGCAGGGATACTGGTACGCCTTTCACTGTGTATAATTGTCTATAACTGTGGGTGTACAGATTATTAAATATCCTGTGCTTGTATCATAGTCTGGTAGGGACATTGCTTTCTATATTAAAGTCTAATCGGAGGTTTGTACAAGGAGGAGCCCTCTTGCTATTTTCATCAGGACGTCAGTTGTCACCCACCGATCAGCTCTCTAAATTCAGAAATGCAATATTTCAGTGGTTTTTTTCCCCCCACATTATACAAATGATGGTAATGTTTATGTGACATGCTTTAGGTGGTCCGTGCAGCCGAGGAAGCGGCATCCACCCTTGCCGGCTCCATCCACCCGGAGCAATGCATCAAGGTGTTGTGTCCTATTGTGCAGACAGCCGACTACCCCATCAACCTGGCTGCCATCAAGATGCAAACCAAAGTCATTGAACGCATCGCTAAGGATTCATTACTGCAACTGCTGCCCGACATAATCCCTGGACTCCTGCAGGTCTGAGTCTAAAACAAGATACAGGCTTTTAGTTTAGATGAGTTTTTTTGTTGTTGTTTTTTGTTTGTTTTTTTTTACATAGAAGTGAAATTTAAGATTGAAGTAATTTTTTTTCTAAACTTACAAAATTGTTGAATAATACACACTTTTAAGAAATTGAATGAACATACAGTTGTGAACAAAAATGTATATATACTTGTAAAGACCATGCCTTATTTGAATTGGCTCAGAAAAGTCAGCACCAGTAGTCAATCTTTATCACTCATGAGAAGTTAAGAGGCCATGCCATGAAGAAAATTGAATTAACAAACCTTTCTACATTACCAAAACAGATCATTTAAGTTGCTCTGTGTCTATTTTTCACACAGCAGATTTTGCCATATTTCCAGAAGACTCATAATAAATTTTTCAAAAGCACTAAAATGCATGATTGTATTTTGTGACAAAGACACAGTCAGTCATTCCATCATAGAAAAGAAAGAGTTACAGGAAACTGAAGACTGCCGTGATACACATGGTCTTTACAAGTGTGTGTAAACTTGTGTTCACAACTGTACTTTGCTAGACAGCAGTTTTAAATGCTTTTCTTTGTTTAAACCTTTGAAATTAAAGAACAGCAGGGCTTTCTGGGGCCAGACAGAGCAGCAACATCCTTGTCGGCTCCAAAAAGGCATATTTGGACAATGTTCATATTTGGACACTGGGAAATATTTGCCTTATTTGTCCCTGGAAATGTTTGCGTGCACTCTGCACTCTTTGCGACTCCTCCCACGTTCCTGCTGACCCTGCATGTGTGTCTATGCATGTGTACGTGCGTGTGTGCGTGGAGACTGATGCTGCCTTGTCTCTTTGCAGGGCTATGACAACACAGAGAGCAGCGTTCGCAAGGCCAGTGTGTTCTGTCTGGTGGCTATCTACTCTGTGATTGGCGAGGAGCTTAAACCCCACCTGGCACAGCTCACGGGCAGCAAGGTATTGACCGCCGACAACAAGTCTTCACACACACACACTTGATTACCAAAACTTCTTCAACAGACGCACAGCCTTATCATCTTCCCATGTTGTTGTTTCTCAGCTTGTTCCAACCGGTTGTCCAATTGTAAAGCGCAGGCTCGTATTTGCCCTACATTCACTACATGTGTCCTTGAGTTATGTAAGGGTTGAGGTTTGAAGGTCAGGTTCACCTTACTGGAGGGACCCTCCCCTAACCACCCCCGCCCCCACCTGGGATCTATATAGCATCTGAACGTGGTTCAGGATGCACCGTTGCATTCTCAAGTTGGACTGTGAGATGTGGCCAGTCTTAGTGAAAACATAACTTACAGTAGATACAGCTAGTCTTTTTAAATTTCATTTTCTACTGTTTTCTTATGAAATCTGAAAAAAATAAAACAAAAAAAATTCCTATAAAAAAGTGTCCAACTGAATACACAAGAGTAGACCATAAAACCTTGCAATCGTCACTAAGGCATACATATAGACAATGCAAAATATCCAAACATCAAATATCAGTGCTAATTATTTTTCATTTGAATGATGTCATGAATTTAAATGTCACATGTTGTTTTCTACAACACTTTTTAATGCACATTTTAAAGTCTTGTATTACAACAACTTAATGGAAACCACAAACTACAATAAAAACTCCAACAATTAAAAAAAAAAAAGTTTAACACTCGCTGGAGGCAGTTGTTGACTTTGTTGCACAGAGTTTGGGCTTGTAATGAACGATGCAGACAGCTTTCCTGAATACGTTTTGACTTCACGAACAGTGACTGACCCTCGACTGAGCAGCTGTTTAAGCAAACATGGTCAGTACCGGCTGATATGAAAGAATAATTACAAGCTTCCCAACAGAAAACAATTCCTGAAGGTGGCCAAAGTAGCTTTTCTTGTTCTTCAAGTTTTTTTGATGGTTCACAAACCATTTTTTCCCAGTTTTGTTTGCAGCGTCTTCTGTTAACTACAGCCATGCGTAACATGGCCTGTACCGCCAAATTCTGAGAACAGTCTAGTTTATTCATTTGAAAGCATTTAATAGAAACATGTCTCATTTGCAATTGTGTTTTTTTTTTAAGTGTTTTTTGTTTCCCAAAGGCTTACTTCAAATGTTCTTAACTTTCAAAAGGAAATGTCTAGTATTTCACTTTGCAAAATTTGCAAAATTCGCTCTGTGTACAGTAAAGGATGAAGTTAATTATTTACTTCTTACCAGTTAGTTTGACACATGTTCAAGAAATGTTACTTTTTCTAAACAAGGTTCTCTTAAAGAATCCTGAATGTTCACCAGATCTGATTTTCCTCTTCAGCATACATGTTTTCATTTGCCATTAACATCTCATGACTTTGTTTGTTTGCAGATGAAGTTACTGAACCTGTACATCAAGCGTGCCCAAACGACCAACAGCAATAGCAGCAGTTCCTCTGATGTCTCCTCTCACAGTTAATATCGGGAGGTTTCATGTGGAAACCTGTGGATGAACGGTATTCAAGAATTTCCAGGACAAAGCTGTGCTTCTTTCAGACTCTCCCTCTCTGAGCTTCCTCTCCTCATCATATTTAAAGCTGTGCTATGCTTTTCTCCTGTTTCCAAGGGACTTTGTCAACTGAATTGGTGTTTAGTTCAATTCCTCCAGCCCACCTCTGCTCTAGAAACATTTGAATGTAACTGCTGTATTGGTTTTAGACCGGTGGGGAGGGAATCAACGCATTTAGAGTTTTTGGAAATGGCACTTTCTCTTCCTCCATGAATCCCACCATCTCAACACCCCCTTTTGTCAATGGAAGCCTGTTTCTCCATGAACCCTCAGATTTGTTATACGTTGTCACACGATGTTGTGAAGTACTCACATCAAAGTGGAGGAATGTTGTCACACAGAAATTTCTGTCAAATCAGCTACAGTTTGGGATGAAATGTCATTTGGCTGGCCCAGTGATGGTAACAAGCCCAGAAGTTTTTCAATGAATTCTGTTTTGGGGAGCATAAAAAACAAATATCTCAAGAAAAGAACAGAAATGTGACAGAAAAAGAAAGTTCTGTATGAACATTTTTAGTTGATACTTAGGTTTGGGATATGGCTCATGGAAGCCTGTCCATCGATTGTAAGAATTTTTTATGCTCATTTGTTCTTAAGAGTGGCTTAATACATGAAATCCCCTTTTCAAAAAGTCCGTGGTTTACTCAACTTTTCAGCCACATAATTGACAATCCTTCAAATTGTGTGCAGATCTTTAGTTTGAGGTACAAAATATGAGACTGCTGATAAACTGCACAATTAAAAATGGCTACATTAGGCTTCAAATTCACAATCAGCAAAAAAGTAGAAGCTGAGCCCATGAAAGGTTGTGATGCCTGTATTTTCACACTAAGCTTTCTGCATTAAGTTCTGAAACTTTTTGAAAAAAATGTTGCCAATTTGTGTCACCTTCCCTGTAAACCTGCCAGGCTGCTGTTCAGTCTGAGCACGTTCAGATACTCCCTGTGTATGAAGAGGAAGTCCTTTGTAAATACCACAGACATGGAGTTGGGAGAGAGACCAGCGATCGGAGACAGTCAGAAAGACTTTGCCAAGCCTTATTCACTTTACACGCTTATGTTTCTTGACTGGACTGCCGAGAGTGAATGGAATGTACAGCACTGTATCTGTTTGCTCTCAAAAAAATGTGAATCCGCAGGAAAACAGATCATGGCGGTGTTCTTGACCTGCGATGATGCAAATCCAGTATTAATTGTTTCCTCTGATCTCCTTCAGTTTCCCTTCACGTACACACAGCTTCCGCAATAACCGCAAATCTACTGATAAAGGTATTTTGTACATACACTTTTTGACCACTGCTTCATAAAATTTTACATAATGTCAAAAAAAATGAAACGCGAACAGGTTGATTATCTAACTTTTTTGCACGTTAGCAAAATAGCTTGCATGTAACCTGCAGCACTTGTCAACTTTGTGCTGTTTTGAAGGGCCCAGGTTTTAGGCTGTTAAGTGCACTTGTAACATCATCAGGTTACTCATCTGTGATTTCATGTTCCAGGAGAGGAGCAAGTCGCATTAACTCATATGTAAAAGGTACAACATGGAGCAAACACTGTTGACCAAACCTTTGTGTTTGATATGTTTAAGTTGTTAGAAGTATTCAGGTGGAGAATTTTGAAAAATCTTACCTTTGAGGTATCAAAAAGCTTTAAAATGTTGGATTCCTGCTCTGAGACGCTACATGGGTCCTTGATTGGAGACAGTTTTTCCCGACATTATTGGATATGATTTGGTTTATCAGGGTACAGTTAATCTACTGTAGGAGAGGATTAGACTCATTGATTTTCTAAAATTCTCATATCTCATATGCTGACTTCTAGCAAATTAGTAAGAATGATTATTCCTGATTTTGGCTTGGAGACAGCCGGAGTCTAATGTGGGACTTCTAGTGATTGGGTGTTCTCATTTAGGGAATCTGCTGAGAATGGGCCAATTATGGTTATTTAAGTAAATGAATGTACAGAATTTACATATTTACGTTGTAACTTGCTGAGTATTGGTACTGAAAATGATTACAGCAACATGCCGCCCTGCACACTCTGTTAAATGCCTCTCTTGAAGTTTCTTTCATCCAAATCTCCTCAACAGCTTCTGACCGTTTAATTGGCCGAGCTTCTCTCTGTTAAAGCAGATCTGTGGAGGAAGGTTTACCAAACTGCCGGTCACTATAATCTGCTATAACCTAGAAACTGGCAGCCGAGGAGGCGGCGTCCAGCCTGGTCCTAGAAACAAACTGTTCACTATGCATGTTCAACTGTACACTCTTTCTTTTGTGTCAATCGGCCATGTAATATTCATACCTGTATTTATATATTTTATTTGATCTTATTTTATTTTCTCTCATGTTAAATTGTACAGAAGGGTTTTTTTGTTAACATCCACCTGTGATAGATTTGCAACAATGTAAAGAAACTGTTTGCTCCAGAAATAAACAAACTGAGAACCGATCTGTTTTCTGGCTGTTCACCCACGATTTCACTTTATTAATCAGTCTAGTGTTAGAAGATTAAAAGACTTCATCAAAGTTTGTATATCCTATCCTTTTTCTTCTCCTCGCAGGTTGAACCTTGGCTTCCACAGGAGGACCGGTAGTAATTTTGCTCGGTTGTCCATCCATTTACAAGCTCATCCATCAAGCGCTGATGTGTTCTTAGCGGCTCTGTATAAACATTAACCTGAACAGACTTTGAGATGACCTGCCCCTAATCTCTACCTTCTGAGGAGCTGGGAAGAGACTGGACAGCAGTCCAGCAGCTGCAGGGGTTTGTACTCAACCTGGTTGCTCACATGTTAAACTGAAGAGTGAATTCTGGGACCAAGATGTAAAGCCACGAATTACTTTCGCATTCACAGCAGTCGTTTTATTTTTCATCTAACTATTTAGTGATGTGAGGTTAGCTGCTTACAAATTGTAAGTATCTGCTCTACGACACTTCTCAGACATGTAGTTACACAAAGCTGTGCAGGGTGATCAGTCTTGTTCATCTGAAAGCTACATGCCCTTTCTCTTTCTTTCTCGACACCCCATTTTTGTGTTTCTTTTCCTCAATTTTCCTCCGAACATCATTACCGTAAGTTCAGCTTTCGGGCCCTACTGTTGGAAGTGTCAACAACCGATCAAGAGAAGCTGCTATTAATGCATCAACCAAACTAGATGCTGCTAGTGGGAGGTGTGCCTGCTCACTCCGCCTCTCAAAGGTCACCCAAGGTATGCTAATGGCAGTCCCGATGACATCACCAACACAATATAAGAGGCGGGCAGTAAGGTTTGGCTGCAAACCACTCTGAGCTGAAATCTGAGGAAGCCACCAGGCACAAAGCTAGCTCCATCTGTCTCCACGTCTTCTCTGTGGTCCTGGGATACAAGAAGACACCGCACTGGAAAATATGCTGTTCTGCCATTCCCAGCCTGAGTCCTACCACCAGCACTCTGCTAGTTACATTAGGTAAAGCACAGCCATGCTGACAAGCTTCAGAAACATGTGGGTTTTGTGCACTTGTACTGGAAAAGAAAAGGAGCTAAATCTGAAATATGTTCAGTCAGTGTTGGTGCAAAACAGTGAGTTTACTTGCTCAAGAATATAAGAGACAAAGAATGGTTCATACAGCTTATTTGTTATGTGCAGATTTGTAGTGATTCTGGCTCTGTGCACTTTATTTTATTATTTATATTAAACTTACAGGTGAAATTCAAATTTTAAATGTGTTTAAAGTGTTAAAGGAGCATTGCGCTCAAAATTCACATTTACACTAAAAGTGACAGACCATTGGACAACTTTTTTTTTTTTTTTCAAACTAATACTCTTGAAATAAAAGTGCTACATGACAACTTTTATTTTGTAACATCAACCTTTGGCACATTTGTTCCTGTGATGAAGTGATTAGATAAAAAACAAAACAAAACAATGGCCTTTATCATCCCCATGCTCATTTGTTTCTCTTCTGATCTCTTTCAGAGAGGCTTTGGCGCCTTTCTTGAAGAACGAAGAAGCCAGACTTATGGCTGAAAGTGGTGCCAAAAGGACCCCATTCCAGTATATTCTGTGTGCAGCCACTTCACCAGCTGTGAAACAGCAGGAGGAGACTCTCACTTATCTCAACCAAGGTGGCTATCTGTCCTGCTAGTTTAATGTCCATGATGACTGGACTGGAGCTCATTTTGCCACATACACCCCCAGTGGAAGCAGTGTTAAACTGAAACCTGCTGACGTGGGATTTCTAATTCATTATAAGTCAGGATTAGGCTAAATTTTGGAGTTGTGTATGAATTAATTTAAACTGATGTCCCTACAGTCTTGAGGGACTTGAGCTCAGCAACAAATATACACAGCTGTTGCTCAGTGCCAGAAGCCAAACAACACAAACTTGTGTGCAAAGTCATTAAGAAAACAAAATAGTTTTGCTCTACAGTAGAATAATAAATTATGACACAGATAAAAGTTAGTTGCAGAGATTTCCTTTAGGGATTCTTTCACAGAAAGCTTTGTTCTGACAGTATCAGAACTTTAGGTCTAATAATTATCTGATCTATGGAAGCAAAGAAATGCCAAAATATTGAGCGTTCTTTTTAGGAGATACTCTGTCACTTATTGTTAAATTAACTCAAGACTGCAACTAATGAGCATTTTCATTATTGACTTATTTTATCAGATTGGTCAAAGATCACTTGGTCCATGAAATAGAATAATGTAATTTCTCAGAGGTTGGATAATATTTCCAATGTTTTCATTTTTGCATGACTAGAAGCCCAAATTTTGAGATTTTCAATGTGATGTCATATATGTCACACTGGCCAAACTTCTATTTAGCTTGAAGTGATTTTTATTCTCATCTTTGAAGTTTTCTCCAAAATTTGCAAGTCCAAAAGCTTTACGTAGGTTAGACAATCCATTCCAAAGTCATTTTGAGGTTTCCAGTCACTCAAACTTTTCTCATTGGGATCTTGTGACTGTCAGTAAATAATCTGATAGGACAGAGAGCTGATTCATTCCATTCAGGCTAAACTGATTTGTCCTCATTTGCAATGCCATCTGAATTAAATAAAAGTAACAAGATTTTTAAAAATCTGATTTAAATTTTTGGATTGCAGTTTAATCAATTTAAATAGGGTTTGATCAATTCAAGTTTCTGTTATGTTTTAATATTAAAAACTTGAATTTATCAATTAAATTGTGTAAAAAAACAAAACAAAACAAAACAAAAAAACTTTAAATTTAGTTTTCAAAATGTTAAATTTCAAAGTGTAAATCAAACACATACACGAAGACTTTAAATTCTTTGTGTTGAAATTTTGGCTTGAAGTATCCAGAAGTGGTTTCGTTGTAAGATAAGATATTTTTTGATCCCCATAGAGGAAATTCTGGCATTATTAACTATGCAACTCAAATTTGTATATATTTTTAAATTCTTTTTGGCTTTTGTGGCTTACATATTTATTGTCTGTAGTAGCTAATAGAGTGGACTGTAACAAGCAGATTTCCTGTGTATGTATTTACATACATACTGTGTCTTTGAGCCTTTTGAATAATTAAATTAGTAGTCAGATTTGAAGTATATTATATTAATAAAATATAGGCTCTCCACTGATTGATTGATTCATCCATGCAACATGAGCTTCTATGAGTGTTAGTTTGTCTGACTTTCATCTTGTAATCTGATTCACCCTCCTCTCTTTCTTTTATCCTTTTGCCTTTCCAGTTTGTATGTTTGCTTTCTACTTCACATCAGTTTCTACCACTGGAACCTTCTGATTGTTTCTGTCTCTTTTGTTGAACAGTGACATTTTTTATTTGTGCTTCATTTACCTCTGTGTCTCTACAAGTTTGCCCTGCTTATCTGCTCTACTGTAATTTGTTTGGAGTAAAACCACAATGAAAGTGAGCTTGCTGTAACATGCAACTTCTGGCCAACAATTACATTAAAATGTAAAGATGGCATGTTTTGATCAGAAATTAATTGCCATCAGGGTCTGTAGCTTACTTTTAGGCCAAAGAAGCACTGATAGTTAGCCATATAGTGTCCCTTATTGGCTATATAAATGATATTTACTTGTGATATTGAACTTAATGTATTGTATTTGATCAGGATGGAGATAAGGAAAAGTTTTGTAGTGGCTGGCCTTGATATCTGGCTTAAGAGGCTTCTAATTTGATTCAATTTCTATCTCCACTTCCCCTCTTTTCTGATTGACTGATTTCCCATTTTTCAATTTTAATCAGGTTTTTTTTTAATGTTTTAAAATGTAGGTCAGTCCTACGAAATCCGTATGCTTAACAGAAAACTAGTGGAGTATACAGATATAAGCAGCAAATATGTAAAGGTAGGTATACGGTATTACCTATGTCTGTTTTTGACTTTCATGTGACTTCTTCCTTCTCTTATCTCTTTTCAAGTCTCACTTTCCTGGCTTATCGCAGGTCCCTCAACCCTCTCTTCCACTTCTGGGTGGGGTGTGGACCTTGGAGAGCTTGGTACTATCACCCAAACTTACCTTTCCTTTTCCCTTATCTTCACATGAACTCCTTACAAACATGCATCTCATCTTACTTTCATGTTTCCAGCATACACACACTCCATTGGGGTCATAACTCTGCTTTCATCTGCATTACTGGGTTTTTTCATAAAGACAAGGGCATCTTTGAACCTTTATTATTCCTGGGAACAGTGTTTTTTTGTTTTTTTGTTGTTTTTTTTTAACTGAAATTACAAAACTAAATTGGGGTATATCTGATGCCAGTGCTTTCTGAGTAAAACCCATTAGCAGCCCATCGTTTCCATCATGCCACTTTTGTTTTCATCACACAGGTTTTTCTGACACACAAGCATTGCCAACTGGCTAAATTTAAATCCAAAGTGACTTCATTCATTTAAAGAGACATTTGTCAGCACAGCCACTTAAGAGTGAGGAGAGGACATTTTATTTCATTTCAGTGAGAGTGCATCCTCTTGACACGTCTCTGTCGTCAGGCTGCTGTTGCTTAAGACCGTAATGTTGCCTGTAGCATCCTAGAAACACAAGAATAGGACAGGTGGCATCTAAGCAAACACATGACGTGGTGGATGCAGAGCTGTTTGAGTTGTGTTGCTTAGCCATGCATGACCCTCCCTCCATAAATATTCTAATCGTACATGGTTTTATAGGTTGTTAATATCATTTCTTGATTTAATTTGTACCCTGGCAGAATTTTTAAAAACAAAAGCTAATTTGGACACTTGAGGCAGTTGAGAGAAATATGACATGGACTTTCTCTGTCCAAAGCTCCCACATGCAAAAGAACTATCTGAAGTTTGTGGACTTTGAGAGAAAAAGATTAGATTAGATTAGATTAGATTAGATTAGATTAGATTAGATTAGATTAGATTAGATTAGATTAGATTAGAACGTTATTGATCCCTTTGGTAAGGTACCTCAGGGAAATTGTTGTTCTAGAAACAGCACAAAAGAAGA